TGTATATAGGTGGGTGTGGGTGTCTTAAAAGCCAGCGTTTTTACGTGCCACTTGCTAATTCTGGGAGAAAAGCAGAGGCTGAATCTGAGGGGGCGTGTGTGTGTGATGTCATAACAAGGGGCGGGGCTTCAGGTGCCTGATAGCAGCTGCCATCTTGACTTTTTTGACCCCTGCCCCACCAACATCCCTACTAATTCTAGCTCTAAAGAGGCCGGGGAAGAGACCCAGAAAGCGAACCATAGAAAGCCCAAGCGGTCCTCGATTTACGGCGGGTTCATTTAGTGACCGAAGTTACCGAAGCAACTGGGGGAAAAATGTGGCTTAGGACCGCTTGTGACCCTGGCAGCATCCCTGTGGTCATGTGATCAAAGGGGATCACATGACCCCCAGGACATTGTAACTGTCATAAATGTGAGCCAGGTGCCCAGCGTCCAAATTTTTATTATGTGACCCTGGGGATGCTGCAACGGTCGTAAGTGTGAAAAATGGTCATAAGTCACTTTTTTTCAGTGCCGCTATAACTTCGAACAGTCACTAAACAAACGGTTGTAAGTTGAGGATTACCTATATGCTTCTTGGGGAAAAAAAATCAATGTTTTTAAATTCTACTTCCTTGGAATAAATGATGTTTATTATAAAAAAAATTCTACCATTGATCACTTGGTCTACCAGTTCGTTATTTGGCTTTTCCCACCCATGATACTAACTTAAGGATGGCAGGGATTCCCTTAACAACGGTGGCAAGAAATGGTCATAAGACGGAGCAAAATCCACTCAACGACAGTTTCGCTTAGCAAGGTAAATGCTGGGCTCAACGGGGGTCGTAATTCGAGGACTAGCTGACCTTCCTAGCTGCTACACCAGCTGACCAATGACCCAGTTCAGAGGGAACAGTCTTCTTGCAAGGGCCATGCCGGCAGGAAAGAGAGTGCTTCCCTCAACAGTCCAAGTTATTTGGGGTACTTTATGGGCCCAGCCTCCCTTTCAGGGGTGGGCTTGTACATGGCCTTTGGGGCCCATCTTAATTATTCTCAGCCTCCTTCTTGTCTGGCAGAAGAAATCAGCAGGTACATTGAAGCCCAGCAGCACCTCTGGAATCCAGCACCGATGCCCCTGCAGGGTGCCGGAATTTTTCCTCTTTCCTGCCTTATGCTCTGGGGGTCTCTAGGTCTTCACTGACACCAGGTTCTCCCCTTTCAATTTCCCCTGGGCCTGGGGTTGGCTTGAAGAGAATAACAGGGTGGGAAGGGACTTTGGAGGTCTTCTAGTCCAACCCCCGGCTCAAGCAGGAGACCCTCGACCCGTTCAGACAAAATGTATTTCTTCTGTTTTCTTTCTGTAGTCTGTATTTACATATTCTGCATTTACATACTCTGTATTTACATATTCTGCATTTACATATTCTGTATTTACATATTCTGCATTTACATATTCTGCATTTACATATTCTGCATTTACATATTCTGTATTTACAGGTGGTCCTTGGCTTATGGCCACAAGTGAGCCCGGAATTTATGTTGCTAAGCGAGACATTTGTTAAGTGAAATTGGTCCCATTTTACGAACTTTCTTGCCACAGTTGTTAAGTGAATCCCCCTGGTTGTTAAGTTAGTAACACGGCTGTTAAGTGAACCTGGCTTTCCCCTGGACTTTGCTGGTCAGAAGGTCGCAAAAGGGGATCACATGACCCCCCCGGGACACTGTGACCGTTATAAATAGGAACCAATTGGCAAGCATCCAAATTTTGATCACATGACCACGGGGAATGCTACAACAGTCGTAAGTGTGAAAAATGGTCATAAGTCACGTTTTCAATGCCTTTGTAACTTTGAATGGTCACTAAATGAACTGTTAAGTCGAGGGTTGCCTGTACTTGTTTCCTTTCTTCCTTTCTTCCTTCCTTCCTTTCTTTCTTTCTTTCTTTCTTTCTTTCTTTCTTTCTTTCTTTCCTTCCTTCCTTCCTTCCTTTCCCTTCCTTTTCTTCCTTCCTTCCTAACCATAACACTAAAATAATTGATCTATCTATCTATCTATCTATCTATCTATCTATCTATCTATCTACCTATCTATACCTCTTTCTCTCTCTCCTTACCTCTTCCACCAAAATCTTGAAACTTTTAGCAATCTGCAGTTGGCAAAAACAGTGCCTCTGGACATGTACAGAGAGCGTTTCCTTCTCAAGAGAATAATCCCATCCTGTCGTCACATCTATGGCACAAAAACATAGACCCTGCTGCTTTTTTTATAGTGCCTATAAACCCAGATTCTTATTTTAGAAAATTAATCACGGGCTGTCCGACACTCATACGCTCCGGAAAGACCTTGGCGGCCGTCCCGGATGCCTTTACAGAAGTCTGCAAGAAGGTGTAGGGAGGACTCCTGGGTCAGATAAACCACACGTTAAGACTCCTTTGGCGCAAACAGACTTTTTAATCCTATTGGCCTAGTTAGAATTGCTGCCCAAGCAAAAAAGGGAAAGGAAGACCAGCACCCACAAAGCCACAATTCTCACATTGCGGAGGTTGTAATATCTCCATCCTTCCCAACACCTCTGGGGCCCCTTGGTTCATCCAAGACCACAAACAAGCCAGTGTTAAAAGTGCCATACTGAGTATATCTATAACCCAATTCACAGAAGGGGAAGACTGAGACCTGGAAGGCACAGATAGATCTGCAAGAGGAACTGCGGCCAGAGCCATGTTTCTCAAGAGACACAAGTCCTGCTCTGGCTCTCACTCTCCAAGAGGGGCTCCTCACTACTCAGCCCCACCCCCCCAACAAAGTCCCTCTTGCCCAGAGATTAAGTCCCAGACCAATCTAGTCCCATGCACGGAAGAATAACACGGGGCAGGAGAGAGAGAGAGAGAGAAACACGGTCTGGTTTCCCACTATAGACGCAAATCAAACTCACTTCCTTCGAGTTCTAGATTCATGTGCCTGAGATTTTGCTGTTTCACAAAGTAGAGACGGACCGTAGTTTGGCAACAACAATTCTGCATCACTACTTGGAATATGTGTACGAGCCGAGAGAGGCACCCCAAACTGGGCCTAAATGCCAGAAGCCTGAACTCTGCTTGGAAAAGAGCAGCCGATTCGGTTTGGGCAGAGAGTAGTATAGAGGATGCAAAAATGTATATTTGTAAATGTGTGTGGGAGAGAGAGAGAAAAGAGACACGGAGGGAGAAGGAAGGAAGGAAATGGAAGTGAGAATGAGAAGAAGAAAGAAAAGAAAAGGAAAGGAAAAGGAAAGAGAAGAAAAGAAAAGAAAAGAAAAGAAAAGAAAAGAAAAGAAAAATTAAAATAACGGAAAAAAGAGACAGGAAGAAACTAATAAAAGATGAAGGAATGGATCATGAAAAGCAGAGAGAGAGGAGAAGAAAGAGAAGATTGAAAAAATGGCGAGCAAGCAAAGAAACTGCTGAGCACGAAACACATCGCGGAAGGAAAAAACAAAATCTACCAGAGCAGCCCAGGGAACAGGGAAGAAATGGAAGAAGTAACTGATGGAAAAGACAGAAGAGAAAGACGGAAGGAGAAAAAGGAGGAGGAAAGCAAAGAGGAGGAGAATATCTGCCCAAAAAAGTTGAACGTCAAAACACCAGAGGAAAACGGAGCAAAGCCTGAACGGGAAGGAGCGCAGGAGAAGGCGGCACAAACAAGCCAAGCAGGGAAGGAAGAGATGGCAGAGGGAAAAGCTGCGATGGCCAAATAGTGCAGGGACTTACCTGCCCCAGAGACCCCTGGGGGGAAGGCACCCTCAGGCCCAGCTTCCTGCCTAACTGCCCCATCATCGGTCTCTGCCATCCACTGGCCGCCGACTCCTTGCCAACCCCGAGCCGAGCGGGCTCCTCTCCATATGTGGAATTGGATCCTACCTCCACCCACCGCGTCACGGCCTGGCACGGAGCTGGGAACACGTGATGTACACAAGACCGGTCATGTGTTCATCCTCCGGCACGCGAGGGTCACCGGCTTCCCTGCCCGGAGGAAAACAGCCAACAGCAACGGCTGGGGAGAGGAAGGACATGTGCGAGGAGGAGGAGGAGGAGGCTGGCTTGGGACAGCAGCCAGTCGAGATGCCTGCAGAGGGGAAAGGGCTGAAGCAGAAAGCAAGAGTCAGCGAGAAGCGGCCGCCAGAGGGTGCCAGCGAAGCCGTGGGGGAGAACCCGGAGCAGTGCCAGGGATGTTATGCAGAAGAGACAGCCCAATCCGGAAGCAACGGATTAGGATGGGAAGGGTTTGCCCGGCAGCAGGTTCATGTTTTAAAAGGGTCCCTCCTCCTGGCCCAAATAACTTCCTAGAAGTTGCCATCCCTGGCTGGGCACAGCCGTGGGCACCCTAAGCCAGCAGTCCTGGAGGCTGCAGGATTTTGCAAGACTGAGGCAGTGCTGGAAATACCCCAAGGTTTATACTCCTTGCAAAATTGCCAATGAAGCTTCTCCTTAAGGCAAGAGCCTTGGTAGTACAGTGGTCTAAAGCACCCTGTTATTAAGACCAGCTGTCTGCAATTACTGCAGGTTCGAATCTCACCAGGCTCAAGGTCGACTCAGCCTTCCATCCTTTCTAAGGTAGGTAAATTGAGGACCCAGTTTGTGGGGGCAATAAGCTGACTTTGTATAAATATACAAAAGTATGAAGGCTATTGCTTAACGCATTGTAAGCCGCCCTGAGTCTCCGGAGAAGGGCGGCATATAAATCAAAATAAAAAAATAATAATAATAAAAAGTCTGTGGAGTCCCAGAAAGTGCCTTCATGGGCAGGAATGCCTCAGGACCTCTGAAAAGTAGCCAGGATCAGCAGGAGATCAGCTCTGGATTCTAACCTGGATTTAATCAATCCCGGCCACGATCCTTCGGAGAGAAGGAGACCGATCCCGGGTTCTTAGCTGAAGCGGTTCGCGGATTTCCCCCAGAGCCATTTCCTTCTTGCCAAGGAGAGAGGCGGTGAGCGGCCAAAAGGTTCCTATTCTGTTTTCCCGGCATCATCAAAGCTTCGCCTTACCTTTGATACTTTGACCAGGACATCCCTGAGTTACACAGTCATGGTTAGGGCTGATGCACACCTCCGCCCCGCAGTCAGCTCTCCGCGCTCATCTTAGCCAGGTTCCGCGAGAGACTAAAACTCTTATAGGCTAGGAGCGAGCGTTTCAAAAGAGGGAGAGGAGGGGCGAAGTGAGGTCTGCCTTGGCCGGATGCCTCGGACGGGTGGAAGGGTGCCAGGTTTGTCCTCCCCAGGCAGAGAGGGCCAAGAGCTGCCTCGGAACAGCCAGTGCGGCAAATTCTGCAGCCCAGGAACCGTGCCGAGGCAGCACACCCCCTTGGGGGCAACGAAGCCCCCGTGGGCACACATTCTTCCCCCTTCCCAACCAGCCAAGCGAGGCCCCAATTGCACCCACCCAGGTCCAAATTCCTCGCAGCCAGCTGGAAAGCACGCGGCAGGGAGAAGGGGGCTTGAAGCCATTTTTTCCCCCATTTCTTTCTGAACCCCCAAAGTCTCCTGCCTCCCCTTCTGCACTCTCTGTGACCCAGTTTTGGGAAGATCCGGATGGATTTGACCTACATCCTGATCACCTTGTCTTCCACACGCTACGGCAGGTCTGCAGGTGTGGCTTCAAAACTGCACCCCCCCCCCCAAAGCTTAACCCCTCTCTCAAACTCAGGGTGCAGAAAGCATTCCTGCCAATGCAGGTTGATCTCAGAAGCCTCCCCCCCTCTCTCTTCCCCCTTCTCCCAACTGTCCTGGCAACTTAAAACTTCCAGCCTCCAAGCTTTGCGGGTGTAAAAGCTGGTTGCAAAACCAACATTCCTAAAGATGACCACGAAACGGGCTACTGTATGCCACTCACAACATTCCTGCTGGTCGATAATATTACTGTCACAATAAGTGACATGTAGGAATCGGCTGGCTCAGTTTCTCCACAATCTTACTGTACAAAAATTCCTTTTGCCATTTGCAAGCTGTGCGCTCTTGTTCCCTTATTGTTAATTTTTCTCCTTTGAATACGAATTCATATTCCTTTGCCTTTGAATATGAATATACAAATATATCTCTATCTCTTATTTCTATCTATCTATCTATCTATCTATCTATCTATCTATCTATCTAATTGAGATTAGACACAGATGCAGACAAATACATATGTATATATATATATATATCACTCACTCACACATTCACACAACTGGAGAATGCTGCAAAACTATCCAAGCAGAGATATTTTGGGGAAAAAAACATAGTTTTTCCTGAAACCTCTGCTCCCCCTCCCTTTCTCTTGGGCGGATTCCTTGCGCCCCCCTCCCCCTTCTAATCCACTCGATTAAAGAATCCATCTGGGGTCTAAAGGCAGCAGGCGAGCGAGAGGCCATGATAGGAAGTCTGCCGTACTGTAAACAAGATGTATATGGAGGCTGAATCGCATGCACACAACCAGGACAGTGGGAAAGGTCCGGTTTTGAGATCTGGCCAGCAGGCAGCTTAAGTGGGGCTCACCTCTCCTCTTTTCTCCAGTTGCTGATAAACCCTTGGCAAGATCCCTACTGTAATCTAATAGATCTCCTTGCAGCCCAGAAGACATTCCCCCCCTTCCTCTTCTTCTGCAGAACTATAGGCAGACCAAGGAGCCATATATATATGTGTGTTCATTGACAAACCTGGCCAATTTATTTAAAAAAAAAATTTTTTTTTGCAATGGCCAAATAATGCATGTTCCCCCCCATAATGACCCCCCCGAGTATTCCGATCCACATTCCAAAGGAGCTCAGCCACCGAGGATGCCGCGACCCTTCCCCAAATACTTTTCCAGGGTACCTGGAAGAAGACCGGGACCTTTTTCGAGAATGAGGAAGGGGTCTTCTGTGCAAGAGGGGGGAGAAATGGGGGGGGTTTCACCTCGCAATTTGCAAGTCTCGCTGGAAATCTCGACCAAACGAGGGGAGGGGGGGGGCTAAGGGGTCGACGAATTTGCCGAGTCTGCAAGTCTGCCCCCTCCCCACCCCCACGAACTCCTCCATCCCCTGGCCCCTCCGCCTGCGTGCCTGTGCCTCGGGGGTCCGGAGACCCCTGCAGAAGCCCTCGGCCTCTCCTGCCCTCCGGCCGCCGCTGGCGCATCCTGCCCGTCCTTGCAAAGGATGCAGCGCCCCACGCGCGAAAGCCGCCGCGGGAGCTTTTCCGCCGGCTTTACCTGGGACCCTGCAGCCCATTCTCCATGGCTGGCCGGCTCGCTCGCTCGCTCCGCTTCCTTCCCTGCCCCGGTCCGGCTGCTGGGCTCGGCGGTGCTCTCCCTCCGCTCTCTCCGCCCGCGCTCCTCCGGCCCCCCGCCCCGAAGCCCACTCCCCTCCAGGCTACTCCCACCGCCCCTCCCCCGTCCGCCTCATTGGCTCCCCCTCCCCCCCCGGAGGAGCCCCCACCCCCTCCAGCCAGGCAGAATCGGGACTCTCTGGCACGCCTCCTTCGGCGGAGCCGCGCGGCCATTGGGCGCCAGGCTGTCACTCCGGCGCCCGGGGGGCTCTGCCCCCTCATTTGCGGGCACTTGGCTGGGTCGAGGGTGCCCCCCCGCGGCTGCGGATGGGAGCTCCGGCTGCGGGGGGGGGCGCGAGCGGTGGGAGGCCGAATCCAGCGCAGGCAGCTTGGCCGCGCAGAGCTGCTGCAACCCGGAGCAGCGCCGGTTCCTTTGGGCAGGTTGGAGCCTCGGTGGATACACCTGGGGATGAATGCCAGGACTGCAAGGGAGTTCACTCCGGATTAAGCTGCCCTGTGCGCGGCTTGGCACCGAGATTTGCGCCACGCGCAAGTCCAGGAGGGGATCGGGTGGAAGGAAAGGCGAGAAGAGACCCCCGCCCCCATGAATGCGGCTCCTCTGCTTTCCCTACTCACCCCCGCCCCCGCCCCAAAAAACCGGCCGCCCCGCCGCCAAGTTCATATGGTCCCAATACTTCAAATGGGACGATCCGAATTAAACTCTAGGAACTGAGCCACGGCTTCCCAAAGCCCTCGCATCAGACGGGAGAGCGAGCAGGTTGTCGAGACGATTCCAGGCTCCCGAGCCGGCTCCAAGCCCCGCGGCCCCAATCGGCCGGTGGAGGAGGAGGAGGAGGATGGCGTTTGTAGTCCAGCGCATCCCCCTTTCCCCGCAAAGGGCTTGCTGCTCCGGCCGTCGCGCGCTGGTCCCGCAGACACCTGTTCGGACGGGCGCTCTCCCGGGTCCTGCCCCGGCCAGCATCTCGGTCGGCGGAGCGGTTGTGTGAAGGCGCCTCCTTGCGGGCGAAGGAGGCAGCCGCTCCGTTCTCCGGCTACCAAAGCCTTTCCGCGGTGGGAAGCGGCCGGGCCTTCTCGGGGGATGTATTGGGGAGGGGGAGAGACCCCCGCCCGCTCACCGTCCCTCCTCCCGAGTGTAGGATACGACCAAGCCACCCCGTCGCGCAAATGGGGAGAAGCCGCAGAGTCTCCGGGGACCCCCCAGGAACTTGCTCGGCATCTCCCCGTGGCCTGCCCGTCTCTTTTTGATGGTTGCCTTCCCCAATCAGGCGCCCTCTGCATGTCAGGACTACAATTCCCATCCTTTCCAACCCACCAAAACATTCTAGGATACAATCGGTTTCGTTTTGGGGTTGCAGCATTCCAGGAAGGGGGCAAAGGGGAATATAGGAAGGGGGGGGATATTCTGGGAGGGGCTCTCCATGGCCACTGTGCACAAGAGGGCAGTGGACCATGGGATTCCTCCTTGAAAAAGCCAGCTTGTTCTCATTTTACAGAATAGAATACAGAATAACAGAGGTGGAAGGGACCTGGGAGGTCTTCTAGTCCAACCCCCTGCTCAGGCAGGAAATCCTAAACCAGAGTTTCTCAACCTTGGTAGCTTGAAGATGGGTGGACTTCAACTCCCAGAATTTCACAGTTAAGTGAATTTTGCCTTACTTTACGACCTTCCTTGCCACAATGGTTAAGCGAATCACTGCAGTTGTTAAGTTAGTAATACGGTTGTTAAGTGAATCTGGCTTCCCCATTGACTTTGCTTGTCAGGAGGTCGCAAAAGGGGACCACGTGACCCAGGGATGCTGCAACCGTCATAAATATGAGTCAGCTGCCAAACATCTGAATTTTGATCACGTGACCATGAGAAGGCTGCAATGATTGTAAAAAAAAAGAAAAACCCAGTCATAATTCACTTTTTTCAGTGCTGGTGTGACTTCAAATGATCAGTACATGAACGGTTGTAACTCACGGACTATGCGCAGTAGGAAAAATGCAGGTAGATAGTTTTCTACACACCTCGAGCCCCAGCTGGCCAAAATCCTGGCTTTAAGGTCAGATTCCTCACCCTCAGTCCATCTTTTGGCTCTTTTCCATCATTTGTGCTTAAGGATGAATATGAACTATTTGCTTTCTTTCGCTGCGTTCTAGCCCAATGAATCATCCCTGCTACCTGTTTATAGTTTCTATGGCTGGCAAATGTTTTGGCAACTCTGTTTATTTTCAAATGAAAATGTATTGTGTGAACTGACAGCTGAAAAAGAGTGTTGTCCTTGAGTTCAACGTGACTCTTAGTGACAACTTGGACACTTCTTTTCTGCGCCACACAGGGAATAAAGGTTTGCTATGGCCTTTTTCTGGACTGTTTTCTCCATTTTCCCAGTCCAGTTTTCGGCTCTTCTGTGGTCTTTTGTCCAGGTTATAATCACGCCTGGCCCGTTTAGATTTTGAGACCAGAAAAGGTTGACCAGCTTCTTCTGTGCCTTCTCACATTCTGAAAAGCTAATGAGAAAAGTTGAACTTATGAACAGTTCATTTAGTGACTGTTCAAAGTAACAACAGCATTGGAAAAAAGTGAATAAGGACCATTTCTCACACTTATGACCATTGCAGCATCCCTACAGTCACATGATCAAAATTCAGGCACTTGATAACTGGTTCATATTTATGACGGTCGCAGTGTCCTGAGGTCACATGATCCCCTTCTGAGACTTTCTGACAAGCCAAGTCAATGGGAAAGCCAGATTCACTTAACAACCATGTTACTAACTTAACGACTGCAGTGATCCACTTAACAACTGTGGCCAGAAAGGTTGTGAAACGGGGCAAAGTTCACTTAACAACTGTCTCACTTAGCAACAGAAATGTTGCTTACTCAACTGTGGTCGTAAATCGAGGACTGCCTGTACTATAAGGCAGGCAACAAAAGAAACAGGCGTCATCTCTTCCGAATCGAAATTCTTAGGAAAAACACTTAGGAAGAAGGCTGCAAAAACTCAGCAGTGGAGACCTTTTACGTAAAGGTGAGGGTGCACTGCCTTGCCACAGCCCGTCTGAAAAGATTCGGCAATGTTTGAATATTGGATGTTGCTTTGGGAATCAAGTTTAGGAGAACTGGTTTTTCATCTCTGTTTTTGGACAAGGCGCTTAGATTTTGAAAAGGAGCTAGCTAGACAAACTCAAGTCAAGGTGTCTAGGCCCAACATACCTCAGCTCCCCCAATTACATCAATGGAAATGAAGTCTTTTTCTGCCGTCAGTTTTCTATGTTTCTATAAATGGGATATATGAAGCATCCAGGCACCCGAGCAAGAAAACTGATTTCCAAAAGAGATAATTACAGACCTGTGAGCAAATAGCAGAGGTTCAATAATCACAGCCAATTTGGTCTAATGATTAAGGTATCAGGCTAGAAAGCAGGAGACCATGAGTTCTAGTCCTGCCTTAGCTACAAAAGCCGGCTGGGTGACTTTGGGCCAATGACCAGGAGACTGGAAGTTCTAGTCCCACTCTGAGCAGGAAAGCCAAAGTGACTTTGGGCCAACCACCAGGTGAATGGGAATCCTAGTCCCACTTTAGGAATGAAAGCCGGCTGGGTGACTTTGGGCCAGTTACTTTCCCTCAGCCCAATCCACCAGACAGGATTATTGTTGTGGGGAAATAAGAGAAGGAAGTTGCACAGGTAGTCCTCTACCTACAAACAGACCATTCAAAGTTGAAAAAGTGACTGGTGATAGTTTTTCACACTTAACGACCATTGCAGCATCTCATGTGGTCACATCAAAATGTGAGCACTTGCAACTGGCTTCTATTTATGATGATTGCAGTGTCCCATGTGATTTCTTTTTTGCGACCTTCTGACAGTCAACAGGGAAGCCGGATAGCATAACAAAAGCAAACTTATATACCGCTTCACAGTGCTTTTACAGCCCTCTCTAAGCGGTTTACAGAGTCAGCCTTTTGCCCCCCAACAACCTGGGTCCTCGTCTTACCGACCTCAAAAGGACAGAAGGCTGAGTCAACCTGGAGCCAGTGAGAATCAAACCCCTGGCAGGCGGCAGAGTTAGCCTGCAATACTGCATTCTAACCCCTGTGCCACCACGGCTCCTGCATTTAAGCGTGTTACTAACTTAATAACTACCGTGAATCACTTAACAACTGTGGCAAGAAAGGTCGTAAAATGGGACAAAGTCCACCGAACTATCTCATTTAGGAATGGAAATTTTGGGTTCCATTGTGGTTGTAAATTGAGGACTACCTGTATTAGGTACGTCTGCGGCCTTGAGTTATTTGTAAAAATAACAAAGGCAGGATACAAATCGATCAATAAGCTTAAAGGGATTCGCAATAGAAACCTCAAATTGCTCTTCAGTTGCTGTGTTGATCCCTCCGTTGTAGATCAGGCAACAACAGCTCTGGCCTCGTCTTTTCTCCACGTGGGGGCCAACGTCTCCCCCGACATCATCCAAGAGTGGAAATCCAGAGCTGGACCCGAAGCGAAGAAAGAATCGAAGGGGAGAGAGAAGCCACAAGGCCGGCGTCTCCATGGTTGGGGGGGTCCTTCGAAAACTTGACTCAAAAGGGCCATTTTGGACGACAAGGCAGAGAGGCCAGCCTGGAATTTTGAGGCCCCGAGTTCGAATCCTCCCTGAGGCATGAAAAGTGGCTGGCTGGCTGACTTTGAGCTGGTGTTTTTCTTTCAACCCAGCCCATCTCACAAGGTTGTGGTTGTTGGGGAAAATTGGCAGAGGGAGCTTCCTATACTCCATCTTATGCAATAAATGTGCAATAAATAAGTCATTGAACTTGCCATTAGCCACAGGGGGGGCTAATTTGACCAAGGTGGGGGGGCACAGTTGCTTGAGGTTTTGGTTCTTAGCCCCAAAGACTTAAGGATGGTGAAACCAGGCCTGGGGAGGCCCAGGCTGCAAGCCCCACTCAGTCGTGGGTCTCTCATAAGACCCTGGCCTACAGTGCAGGGTTGTTGTAGCAAATCAGTTCAGCCAAGTCCTGTCAGTTTTAGCCACTTCAGCCAGGATGGGACAAAATGAAGTAAAAAAAGCAAGCTATTTTCCATTCGGCCTCTTTCAGGGATGACCCTCTTGCTTTCCCGCGTGGACACTTCGCGCTCCCCACGCTTCGCCTCGCCTCAGCAACACCCCCTACCACCACAAAAACTGGTCCCCCGGCGCATGCGCGGTGTAAAAAAATACCCCATGCGTGTGGTTTTTATTTTGACCCACTGGGCTCGCCGTCGCCGTTGCTGCAGCGACCGCCAGGGTGACTCCAACTCCTCCTGCTCCCCGTTGCATTCACGCATGCGCGCCCTCTGTTTAGCCCGGAAGCGGAAAGTGTTTCTTTTCTCCACCGCGCCGGAGTCGTTTCTCAAACGAGCGGCGGATCCATCGCAGCGGCAATTATGTGAGGAAAGCGGGAGGGAGATTAGGGGGCGGTGGACGGAGTGGGGGGGACGACGACGACGACACGGAGTTGTCTTTTTGTGTGTGTGTGTGTTTGTGCGCGTGTGCGGTTTTGTGTGTGTAAAATATGTATGGAGCAGTGTTTCTCTATCAGCGAGTTTAAGACCTGTGGACTTCAACTCCCAGAATTCCCCAGCCAGCTTAGCTGGCTGGGGAATTCTGGGAGTTGAAGTCCACAGGTCGTAAATGCGCTTTTGTGTGTGAAAAATATGTATGGAGCAGTGTTTCTCAATCTCAGCGAGTTTAAGACCTGTGGACTTCAACTCCCAGAATTCCTAAGACAGCCATGCTGCCTCAGGAATTCTGGGAATTGAAGTCCCCAGTTCATAATCACTCACCCCTGGTATAGAGGGTTCTTCTGGGCCTTACCGTAAATCTTGGAATAGGCGCCCCTCTCGAAAGAACGCTCCCTCTCGGCTCTCTTCTGGAGTAGCCCCCCGGGGGGGAGGGGGGTGGCAGAGAAGGAGCCCCTCCTCTCGCTTTATGGTCTGCATTCTCTCCCCCCCCCAAAGATATACGATGAGTTTGTATCTTTGTAGTTGGAAACTAAGAGAGCAGGGACTCTCTTAAGTAGGCGAATAGTAGTAATAACTTTCTATTGAGCCTTGGTGGCGCAGCAGACTAAAGTGCTGTTAAGTAGCACCAGCTGCCTGCAATTAGTGCGAGTTCAAATCTCACCAGGCTCAAATCTCACTCAGCCTTCCATCCTTCCGAGGTAGGTAAATTGAGGACCCGGATTGTGGGGGCAATAAGTTGACTTTGTATAAAAAAGAACACCGCTTGGGGGGGCCGAAAGCCCTACTAAGCAGGTATATACAAAAAGTATGAAGGCTATTGCTTAACGCATTGTAAGCCGCTCTGAGTCTCCGGAGAAGGGCGGCATATAAATCGAACCAATAAATAAATAAATAAATATTGTATCCTGAATACAATATATAAAATATATTGCTACTAATGCAATCTATGAAATATAGTGCTACTAAGAGAGCTTATTTTCATCCAATTAAAGGCTTAGGGCATAACCCCCAAAATCTAATAATATGTATTTATTTTCCTTTCCTTCTTTCCTCCCCTCCACCCCCACTTTTTTTTTAGGAGCCTCTTAAACAAGCCCAAAAGTGAGATGACCCCTGAAGAACTGCAAAAGCGGGAGGAGGAGGAATTCAACACGGGGCCTCTGTCGGTGCTCACACAATCCGTTAAAAATAACACCCAGGTGCTCATCAATTGTCGCAATAACAAGAAGCTTCTGGGCCGTGTGAAGGCCTTTGATAGGTAGGCTCTCTCACCTGGGCATGTCTCTAATCCATCAGAGGGTTATCTGTGGGATTCGTTTATATTCTTAGTGAAGCAATTCTATACATTGTTCTGGTTCGTTAATAAAGTTTTTTATTCAGAATGAATACGGGGAGGGGTCCTTGACTTACAGCCATTTGTTTAATGTCCATTTGAAGTTACAATGGCAAAATTACAATGAAAAAAGTGACTGTTTTTCACATTGCAGTATCCCCGTGGTCACGTCATCAAGAATTTGGGTGCTTGGCAACTGGCATGTACTTAACGACAGTTGCACTGTCCTGGGGTCATGTGATCACCAATTGTAACCTTCCCAGTTGACTTCCAAGAAGCCAAGTCAATGGAACAAGCCAGATTCGCTTAGCAACAACGTGATTCATTTAGCAGTTAACAGTGATTCACTTAACTGTGGCAAAAGAGGTCATAAAATGGGAGCACAACTCATAACTCTTTTCGTTAGCAATGGAAATTTTGGGCTCAGTTGTTGGTTGGAAGTCGAGGACTATCTCTATGCAGCTATGGGGATCCCAAGAACTAAAGGTGCTTTGAATCAGCATAGGCAGTACACAACTGTCAGTGGCTCCTTAAAGAACAAGTGCTTTTCCTGTGCTCAGATGGGATTCCTATGGACTGCAATAATATGTCTACCGTGAATTCCCAGGAAAGCTCATAACTCCTTTAAGTAGCTGCCAGGGTGGATAAAAATTGATTTAAAAAATAAATAAATTTTTAAAAATCAGATTTTTTTAAAAAAAAAATTAGAACAGTTTTTTTTATTTTTATCAAATTTATTTTAATAAAATGCTTTTGGAGTAAAAATCTGTCTAAAGATAGTTTTTTATTGATAAATTGATAATTTAAGTTTATTCAGCATGAAATGGAGCTTAGTTACACAGCATGAGGCTGTATATTCTGCAATATTGGGACTGTCGGTGAGTCAACAGCAGGTCGGAGGAGCTACTGTGGAACAGAGATGACGGTTGCTCTTTAAAATTATGATTTAAATCGAGTTGATTTAAATCAAGCCTTTTTACTAGTGATTTAAATCTAAATCTTGATTTAAATCAAATCCACCCTAGTAGCTGCCAGTGGGTAGTATAAACGCATTGCGCAGCGGATTCAGAGTTCCGTTTCAGATCAGAATATTTTTCAGCCTTGAATTCTGTGGGGATCTACCTCTCTCAGAACTTCCTCCAGGCTTGTTGCAGATTTGCCAGAAGCCGCTCAGGGAATCTCGTCTCTGCGTAACGCCAGGCACTTTCTTCCACCAGGCACTGCAACATGGTGTTAGAGAACGTCAAGGAGATGTGGACCGAGGTGCCCAAGAGTGGGAAAGGCAAGAAGAAATCCAAGCCGGTCAACAAAGACCGTTACATCTCAAAGATGTTCCTGCGGGGAGATTCGGTCATTGTAGTGCTGAGGAATCCCCTTATTGCTGGCAAGTAAACAGGCCGAGGTGGCTCACGAGCCTGGCAATGCCAAGATGCCACGTTTAGGATTCTTCTCAAAAGACTGGAATCTGTTGCCTTTAGTTTTAAGGCGGGGATATCTTATAGTCAACTGTCCTTCCGGTGTTTCTTGTGTCACATGTGTGCAGCTCCGTGACGTGCTGACGGATGAAATTCCCTCGTCACCTCAGTATGTTCCTCTTTTTTATATAATAAACATTTTGTTGAATTTGTTGGGTTGTACTTTTTTTTTTTTTTTGCTGGTGCAGGTGCTTCTGTCCAATATTTTCATGATGTTGGAGAGTTATATTTATGAATAACTGAGTTTCTCCATCTGGTGCTGTTCTATGGTTAGATGTTAGATAAAACTTGTTTGCACTTGGGGACAGTACAATTTTATCACATTTCTGACAGGGCAAATCATTTGGCCTTCTTTCCTCATGTCTTCATCACCTGGTTTGGCAGCATACCTTAAAGATTCTTGGAAGAAACCAAATGAAGAGTATTTTTGCAACCAGATGTCTATTGCTGAGTGGAACAGAGTTTTCTGTCCAGAGGTTTGAGACTGGTCATGCATGCCTACATGTGTTTTGATTCAAAGAAAATAAGTATTTTTAATCCTGTGAATGCCCTCTTCTTGCCTCCTTAAAATGCACAATGTTTTTAAATACCTCTGGTAAGGAAAGGATATTTGGGGATCTATTTTCTAATTCCAGCGTTTTCCATTAAATACCATCACACCCCAACACCAACAGAAAAAAACCCTATCCTAATCCTGACCCCAGATCTCTAGCTTTAAGGGCTGAAAGTGGTGAGGCAAGAAATAGTCTAAAACGGAATAATTAGGTAAATACCAAGTCTATTTGTCTAATTCTCAAGGGGGGGGGGGAAATGGTAAAAATCAATTCACCCAAAAGGCCAAGGATTTAAACCCTGGGCTCATACACAAATACATATAGTTTGATTGCTACGTACCTTCTGCAATACAGAGATTTAATATGTGACTTCTTGTTTGCAATAAAGCAACTGATCTCAGTTTTTGATTCTGTGAGCAAGTATGGTAATTTATAGGCTTGAGCATCTGGAGAACAGAGATTATGTCTCCTATGATGTCTGGTATCACAGTATCATAAATTTACCACAAATGATAACTTGTTAATTTAACATAGTCTCAAAAGTCAATTGGAGTTGGGTGGCATTAAAAAATAAAACTAACATAAATGTAATTATACTATAATTCCTCAAGGTCCTGCAATTCCCTGGTGGTTTTTCCTACTTTCTTTTCCACGGTGGGTTGTCTTCTCCACCCAATAGGAGAAGGTTAGCATGAGCTCACTCCTTAGGCCCAGGGGTCATTCTCTTAGTCCACCCAAGCTCGGTGCAATGCTCATTCTCCCCAGCCTCTGAAAGCGCCTTCATATTGCTTTGATACCAGATCTTTTTACCACTTCATGCATCCTTTGGTTATGTCTTTGGGAACATCGCCATTACATTAAAAATACACTTATTTAAAATATCAATGATCTTCCAGGGAACATTCAGCTGCATACATTGAGCAAAATCCCATGGTCCCGTGGAGAGAGATTCTGTATGGGGTCAGATGGCCTTTTCAGAAGGGTCTTGGCAGGACTGTGGTTGAGGTGCCCTACAGTCTTTGCATCACACATGGGGGAACAAAGATAAAAATATGGAAAAGTACTTCCAACCTGCATTTCTGGAAGTGACACAAATTGTTGTCTTTACTTTGCACAATGTTGAGATGAGTCGCAGGGTTTGCCCTTTACTCGGTGGTAGAACAGGGGTGCCCAACCTTGGCAACTTTTAAGATTTGTGGACTTCAGCTCCCAGAATTCCTCAGCCAGCCTTGAGGAATTCTGGGAGTTGAAGTCCACCAATCTTAAAAGTGGCCAAGGTTGGACAACCCTGTCTTAGAACATGTCCTTACTCAGCACCTGCTCGGTAAATGCAACTCATCAACAGCTACGTGATCCAGAAAGCAAATGTTTAGTTTTCCAAGAAGTCTATACTTAGTTCTGGGGAATTGGGTCCAGTAGTGTAGTGTTCTTGGTATAATTTTGAAAAATAAGTAGGCAGTGAGCTGTAAGTTGGTCTGGCTGAGGCTCAGGATTTTCCTTCCCCGCTACCACAGCAAAAATAATATTTTCAGGTCTTCCTGCCCCCTCTTGTGGAGAGTTGATTAATGGCTCTGATTTTTTCTTTCCAATTTAAAGAATGGTTTGATAGCTCCACCCAAACGCCTGATTTTTACTTGCCTGGCAGGAAAGTGTTATGAAGTGGTGGCACTTCTAAAATGTTGGCGGGCATCGTCCCAGATGCGGGAAGTGGGCCGGAGCCACAGATGCAGAGGAGGGTGCTTCCGAGGGCGTCTCGGAAGGATCGCACGCGGAAGACGTAAACCACCGGGTTGATGGCAGAGTTGGCGTGGGAGAGGATTATGGTGGCCAGGCTCAGCTGACTGGGGATGCAACAGCTGGGACAGAGGAGCATGACGGTGTTGAGAATGTGAAGCGGCAGCCAGCACAGAATGAAGAAGAAGAGGATGATGAAGAGCGAAGTGGCCGTCCGCATCTCCTTGTGGGCGATGATCCGGCGTCTCCTCTGAGCGCTGATGTTGACCTCCCCTTCGGCCACTTTGCGGATCTGGCGCCTGATCTCCAAGAAGATGCGCCCGTACAGCATCAACATGACCACCAAGGGGACCAACATGCACATCATGAAGTTGAAGTAGACCATGTAGGCGTTGGTGATGATGCTGTTGAAAAGGCACTCCCTGCTGGGGGGCAGGGGGTCATGCCAGCCCATCACAGGGACCAGGCCGGTCAAGATGGACAGCAGCCAAGAAGCTGCAATCACCAGCAGGGAATTGCGAGGGCTCAGCAGAGACTGGTACTGGAAGGGCTTCAGGATGGAGATGTATCTCTCCACAGCGATCGCCAGCAGCCCAAAGATCGAGGCTTGGGTAAACATCAGGAGCAAACAAAGCATCAGGAGGCACAGCTGGGGCCTGGACTGGGGCAGCCCTACATCGGTGAACTGGGCACAGGGGATGACCACCGCCCCGACCAAGAAGTCTGCCACAGCCAGCGAGAGCAGGAAATAGTTGGTGACGGTGGAACGCAACTTCCTGTTCCGCAAGATGACCGTACAGATAAACAGGTTGCCCGCGATGGACAGCAGAGCAGTCAGGCTGTCGCTCAGCAAATAGGGGATGTGCACAACAGACGGGGAGGTCATGTTAGCGGTTAGAGGGCACTGATGCGGATTAACGGAGGATGAATTCTCCACGCTATCCATTATAGGAGTGGGGCCATTTGGACTCTGTGTTAAGGAGAAAGTCTTCCCTTCCGGTTTCTGAAACTCTGAAGATCGTTGTCCCATCACCTTCCACGCTTGAGGAAAGGAAGGCTCGGTGAAACGGGGCTGGGGGAAGAGAAGAAGACGCCGTTGAGAATTCCATTGGGTTTCTCCGTCATACTTGCTTGCATTACCCGTCTGTGAATCAGAAACATTTAAATCATCCACATGTATAGGAAGGAAACAAAAGTGCTGTATTTTGGGGTCCTTAGTGCTCTCTGAGCTTGGCGGTTTCCTTGTAGACATTTCATGACCCAACTAGCTAACATCATCAGTGCATTAAGGGAGTGGGGTTTGTAGAAAGGAGGAAGAGGGGGAGGAAGACTGGGGGTCCTTGGTGCTCTCTGAGCTTATTTTCCTGCAGACATTTAATTACCAAACTCAGTAACATCAGTGCTAGAAGGGAGTGGGGTTTGTGGAAAGGAGGTGGAGGAGGAGGATGTGGTCCTTGGTGCTTTTCCCTTTCTGAGTTGGGTTATTTTCTTGCAGACATCTCATTACCAAACTACTTAACATCAGTGCTAAACTCACAGTCCAAACCTGAGCTACAAATGTTCTCTTCTATCAGAAAGTGGCATACATTGCAACATTTAGTCTTGTAAAAGCAAGAGCTTAGAATAGCACCCTTGACTTTGGAATGTAAATACTCCTTACAAAGAAGCGACAAGGGAGATGATTTCTTTGGAAGACCCCAATCAAAGCTGGTATCTGACTTACCTACAGATCCCTGCTGTCATCCCCCAACGCAAAGGGATGTCATCGAAAGTGAGAAAAGACGCCTGCAGCCTTCTAAAATCACTTCTGGTGCAATCAGAAGCATCTGGTCCAACCCCGGCTCATTTCTTCCTCTGCTGCTTCTGCCTTCTGATGTTTATAAAAAATTAGATCCGATAAGTCGCAGTCGGCATACAAAAGCTGCTGCATTTTGCACAGAAAGGGATAAAGCAGGGCCAGGCAGCCAAGGGAAGGTCTGCCTTGCTGCAGCTTGGGAAAAGAATGGGAAAAAAAAGAACAACAGGAACAACAACAACTAGGTGCATTTTAGATCCTCTGGGATGAGACGTGTAGCAAAGTTGCCATTGTACTGCAGCCCTGAAATGGGGGGTGTGTGATAGCAATATAGGAGGGATCGTTTCTGCTATCTCATAAATCCTGGATTTTCTCAGCCTCTGGGCTGCTGTGAAGAGAGCCACATGGTTCACACAAACAGTCCCTACAAAGAGACTCAATTCAAGGTAAACATCATGTACCCTTGCTTTGTTTTGCTCGTGGTGTTTGCATTAAAGATACAGGAACAGAGTCGGGGAGGGGGGCGGGGACGGGGGACACCACAAATTGCATTATCCCAGAATTCTGAAGAATGTGTTTATTCGCCACTTTGGAAAAGTCAGCAAGTAGGTATCTCTTAAAAGTTTTTTTTAAAAAACATTATATCAAGGAAGCCTATAAATACACATATTTTTTATCTGCTGAGAAAGAAATCAAAGGCACCGTAAAAGCTTTTATCGAATGGAACAGTTCATTAAACCCGTTCAAGCTGCTTAGATGCTGAAAGGAACCAAGCACAGCTGTGAATACAGCCTGGATAAATAAATATACAATCCCGAGCAGCAGAATGCAAGCATAATCTAGGAATATCAACTTGGTTGAAAAGGTCACTCATTACAGGCTAGTTTTCCTATTTGCAAAACAGCTAGCTTTTTATTTGTGGGCGAGATTTCAGATTGATTTTTGTTTGTTATGCGTTCAACTGTTCTATGAAAACCACAATTGCCTTGGAGAGCTAACTCAATATTGTTTGAATAAACATTCATTATTTGGGGGCAGAAAAAAGGGATTTTAAAGAGAATGAAAGGGTGAGAAGAAAGCAACCTCTTTTTGGAGGGGTCCTTTCTCTCAAGAGTTGTTATATTATTTTCCCTGAATTTTAGTTCAAAGATTATCAAATTTGTCGACTATCTCATGGATCAAGGTAATATTAAAAATATCTATTTTGGAAAACTTTTTTAGTTCCCCCCTCCCCTGCAGTGTTATGATTATACTTTCTTTCCTATTATTCCATCGCTAGATCCTTTTATTGGCATTATGCCAATTATGTATAACTTGAGAGTTATTTTTCTCAAAGGTAAATAAAAACATAAATGGACTTATCTTTTTAAACAGTGGAGCCTAATAAGATAGAAACGTTAAGAACTGCAAAGCAGCAGTTTTGGCAAATGCATTAAAGGATGCTTAGCACATTGTAAGCAGCCCTGAGTCTCCAAGGATGGGCAGCATATAAATCAAATAAAAAAAATGTGACTTTCCTGAGCATATACATGATCGCATGTGAGGTTGGGATACATTTGTGTAAATATATCTCACCATTTATTTGTTAATAAACGGGTTGGTACCATAGTTATCCTACTGAAATATGGCATATAAATTATAAATTCAAATGGCATGGCTGGGGCATTCAGGGAGCTGAAGTCTACACATCTTCAAGTTGAGAAGTTTGAGGAACGCCTCTTTATTAATGAAAAACGACGGAGGAGCGAGGCAGGTCTACACCCCATCCCTCAAAGAGAAGCACCACCTACGCACCATCCCATCCCACGAAAAAAAAGTAGCACGACGCCCAGCCCGCGCCTTTTATACTGGCCTCCGCTCCCTCCTTTTGGCGGGAACGAGAGCGACGCCAGCCGATTGGCCAGCCTCTCTTTCCCTTAAATTCCCATTCCCCTCCCCCCTCGCCTCCGAACCAATCGGTTCCCTCTGCCTGTCCTGTGAGAGGGGATTGCCCCTCCCGCCGCTCTGGCCTTTCATGGGCAGGCTCCGCCCTCCGTCCCCCCCCGGGTTCCTCTTCTACCCCGCCCACTCCTGCGCGAGGGCGCGCGCCCCTGAATTGCGCGGGCCCCGGTCTGACACGAGCGCGCGCCGCTGTGACTTCTGCTTCCCACTCGCCCTTCCCTCCCGCCCCCCTCGGTGCTCGTGTCCGCCATAAAGGCAGCGAAGGTATCCTGAGGGGATCAGCTGCTCGCCTCCCTTCCCTTCCATGAAGGGTCTCTCCTCCCCCCCCCATTGCTAGTTTATTAAGATCTGAGGAATTGGGGAGGGGGGTTCCCTTCCCCTATTCCTCTCCTTTCCTCTCCCCCCCCCATATACATAAACTGTTATCCTCTCTTTGGCCAAAAACCCTTCTGGATTCTTTTTTTATTTTTTGGTAACTCAGGCTAAGCCTGCCTCGATGGTTTGCAGCCCTGGAGGGCCAAACTAGGTTTTTTGGAATAAGCTAGGATGGTCTGGGGGTGCATTGCACCGCTCATTGTGGTTCATATGTCACAAGGGCAGGTTGGGGTTCAGTTTTGAGTTGGTCCAAAGAGATGAGGGCAGGCGTGAAGTGGGGTGCAAAGGAGATCCCTTGGCTGGATCCCTTGGCTGGATCTGTTCTTCAGACACACCAGGGATGCCCCCATAGAGAGAAATTAACTATATTCCACCTCATGAGCATCCTTCATCATCATCATCATCATCATCATCATCATCATTATTCTCTTTTTCCTTCTCCCCCTCCTGTTCCTTCCCCTTCCCTTTCTTTTTAATTTCCTTTCCTTCAATTCTTTCTCCTTTTCGTTCTTTTTTTCCTTCCTTTCCTTTTTTCCCCTTTCCTGCATCTGATCCTGGCAAACCATTTGCCACCCTCGCCATCTTTTGGCCTCCCCGAGGGGAAGTCTTCCAGCAAAATCTGATTAAAATGGCTCATTTTCAAAATCTGGACTGTTCACATCTTCCTTTCTTTTCTCTTTTGGGAAAGAAAGTTCTACTTCTATACCCACTCCCTTCCCAAATAATCCTTATCCCTCAGGACTCCCAGAAAGGACCTGGGTCCATTCTATCACAAAAAAGGATTTTTATGGGGAGCCACAATTGGATGTTATTTCCTTTCTGGGCTTCCATTTGTAGCGTTCAAGAAAGTTAACCAAAATTTAATTTTTGGATGGGCTCATGACTGCCATTTGATTATTATAGAGTACCTCCCCAAACAGATCTATTCCCTGCGCCCTCTTACGCTCTCGTAATACATAATGCCATGTAAATCCTCACTTTTCTGTTGTTTCTGGAGAATCTCTTTCAAGAAGCTTCACTGCCATTTTGAATCCCTGAATTCTCTTTTCTTTTACCATGCCTGTGTTTTCCCCACCGTTGATTGGTTGATTTTCATTATTTATTTAAAACATTTATATAGCTGGTTTTCTTCTCCACTGTTCTTCCCAGTCAGCTCAGGATTCCTAGTTACCTGTCTTACCAAGATGGCATTTAATAATTTTTATTCCTCCCATAAGAAATGGCAATATCTGTTTCCAACAGAACAATTGCGATATGTATTTTAATCTTTCTTAAGTGTTGCTCTCTCTGGTGCTTTGACCAAATCCTGTTTTTGGAAAAAATCTGTACCACTTGTGATCTCCTCTTTGGAGTGCAGCTTGGTGTCTGGAATGAGTTTGACAGCTGATGTTGTAGTCTTGAGTTGAGGCCCTTGCTACAAGTAGGCATTAGGCGTATGAGTTCTGTAGGCCTTTCCATTTAGCCCATGCAAGAAAATAGAGCATTCTTTTCTATTTAATTCCAAAATGGAGTATACCACTCAGGGGACATTTCCTGTGTTTTAGGGTTCTCTTCTCTCCCTGAGGAACTCTTGCCTCCTAATTCCTTTACTCCATTGTATATGCAGTTTGCCCTTTCTATAGCTGTGTTTTTCAATCTTAGCAAGTATGCTGGCTGGGGAATTCTGGGAGTTGAAGTCCGCACATCTTAATGTTGCCAGGGTTGAAAAACATTGTCTTAAAAGGTTTCCTCTCACACTCTTTTTCACTCTCCCCAACACATTTCTTTTGTTGTGATTTATGATCCAGGACTCAACATTTTCTCTTCACTTCTTTCATTACAGATGTGGGACCAAATAGGGCGAGTTTGCTCTGAGGAAATGCAAGCAAACAGCAACAATTTCAAACATAATTGTGATGACAGGTAAGAAAAGAAAGTGAACAACCTGAAATCCAACATCTTAAATGATGATGATATGGCGATGATAATAACCACTACTATCGGGTTAAGCAAAGGTTGTTTTAATACCGGTACAGCTCTAATTTATATGTGATATAGTACATATATGCATTTATCTGAGACATTGAACAGAATGAGATGGACGGTACTAATATTTATTTCAGTGATATTAATGTATTAAATATTAATATTTGACAATTTGATAACATATAAATGATGGTTCTAGGTTATTTAGGATTCTAAATTCTGTATTTGGACAATGAGAGTATCATCTATTACTTCTGGAGAATAAAAATAGCAAGTATATAGAGAGGGAGTCTATGTATGTATTTGTAAGAAATATCTAACCTTCCTTCTCTCTTTTTAACAGAAGAAAACGCAATAACTACACCAACACACTTAAAGAATTGGCTCAGATGTTACCCATACCACTACGGACCAGTTGTAAGAGGTTGACAAAGGTATTATAATAATAGAATTTATCATAAAAGTTCAAGGAATGTTCTATAATTTTGGATCTACACAGAAATCATGTGTGTGCTGATTCCAAACCGAACTAAATACAAATGACAGATGTTTCTTGTCATGTTTCTGCTCTTTAATTTTGACTTTTTAATATTCAACCAGAAAGAGATCCTGCTCCGAGTCCTTCGCTACATTGAACATCTGCAGACAAGCATCAATAGAGCCAGGTCACTGCTCCAAGGTCGTGGTGAGGAACAAAAAGGTAGGGAAATGCCAGAATAGAGGCAGAGAACACCCATGGTCAGACAGTACAGAGGATATACCTGAGCAAAGGTATATGGTCCGTATTTTTTTCTTTTGTCAAAGCAGTTGGACCTCAGCAAGTGGTGATACCTGCCCCAAAGAGAGAGCGCAGAGAAGTCACACCACGGGCAAAAAATCCCAAGCCCCTGGGCGTCTACAAGAAACCCAGAAAGAGGAGACGGACCCGCAAATCAGGTCTGGGAAGTATTCCACAAGCTTGGGTTTTCCACTCTTGATGCTTCAGTGTGTTGCGGTTTGTAGTTTTTTCTTCCTTCCTCTGCATGATCAGCCATTGCAGCACTGTCTGTTACAGCCCATGCCTCATATCCATTCATGGCTTCAGTAGTTTTAGGCATTTCCTTGACCTTTATTTCAGGGGTCTCTTACCTTGACAACTTTAAGACTTGTTGACTTCAACTCCCAGAATCCTTCAGCCAGCCATATCTTAAAGTTGCTAAGGTTGGAGACCCCTGCTCTACTTGGATCTTGGGATGATGCCAGGCAGAGGCAAGCAGTGGATGTCACGCAATATGCTTGCTGCTTTTTGATGGACAGGAGGTACTGTACAATGGTCGCATAGCTCAGCCAAGAAAGAAACTAGAAAAATGGGGTTTTGTCCTCCTGGGAAGGTTAAAAAGGTAAATAAAAGATGCGGGAACGGATTGAGCTAAGAAAATTGGTATTGCAGCTGAATAAACTCAAGTGCAGAATTTTCTTACGGGAGAAGCATCTTAAGGCTCCTGCTGTAATGAGGCAGGTACTGTCAAACCTGAGATTTAGTTCTTCAAGCATGCTTGTATCTTTTGGTTTTGTAGATCGGCGTGTTGGTGTGAACAGGAAAGTGTGCAAGTACCTTGCTCTGGAGGCTGGAAAGGACTCTGCCCATGCTGTCTCACACCCAGAGGAAGAGAGTCTGCCTGATGTGGGAGATGTGTCTTCTATACTTTCATCCTTCCAGAAGCAATCAACTTCCTTTCCCAATTTTAAAGTTCCATTACTAGAGCCTAACCAGCCTGCAAACACTAATCTTCTGGATCTCACCAAAATTGGAGTCCCGTTTGATCCCGCAGGTACAATTTCTTCGGTTCCTTTGTAAAAAAAAACAAAAAACAATTCAGTGGAGAATAAATGGTTCCTTTGTGACAGACAATGTAATTTGAAATATGGGAGAGGTTAATGAGGGCTTGTTTCCATCAAAGGGAAAAAAAAGATTTATTAGATTGTGATGGTGTTTGAACATAAGGAATTCTGTTTTATGAGACCAACAATTTGCTTAGTCCGGCATTCTGTTTCCCACAATAGCCAATCAGCAGCCTTTGGATGTTTTCAATCCTGATGTTCAGCCCAGGCTCTGGCACTCAGTACTTTACACTGCCATGTCTCTCTAAACAAGTTGCTTCACTCTAATTGCTAACAGGCAAGGAGTATATCTTTTCCATATGTGTGTATAAGCCACTATTGTCTATGTGGCACGGCAGTGAATTCCAAATAATTATGAACTGGGTAGGGAAAAAAAATTCTGCTAGTTTCCAATAAGTCATTTTAATAAGGAAGCTCCCTTACCCGCTGAAGTATTTTTAGACAGAACTTGACATTAAGATGCAAATATTTTTGGTTACTTGAAATAGATTTTCTCATTAAACTCGTGGCATTCAGTAGTTTAGCAACACTATGTTAAAAACATTCCACCCTGAATATGTTATATTTTTTTATTTTCCAGAGTTGTTGTTTCATCTAGTATTAAATATTAATCCATGCATTGCATACATGAGCATGTCTTCCTTCCTTCCTTCCTTCCTTCCTTCCTTCCTTCCTTCCTTCCTTCCTTCCTTCCTTCCTTCCTGATTCAGGTCTAGTTTTTATCAGTTTTCAGAAAGATGTTCTTAACATGGAGAAAATGTTATTCTATTCTGATTTTGTTTACAATAAAACTTATTTTTATAGCCCACGGAATATAAATTGGATTCTAAAGAGTTTAACTTTTTGTCTTTCTATCCTTGTAACTATTATTGACAGGCTGGAATTTTGATGGTGACCAGGAATATAAGGATGAGAATACATTTTGTATGTATACAGCACAAATGGCTTACAATAAACTGCATCAATATAGTGGGGGCCCTGGACACACATTGGTGAGGTAGGAATTGAGTGGTGTATTTTCATATTTTGTAAAACTGAATTCCTAAATGGCTGTGGGTTTATATTAGACCATTTTTAAAAAATGTTTGTGTCTTTTTAAAACAGACAAGGACTTTTTGAAGTCAAGCGTGCCATCTCCATTCTAAAGCAGATGAAACACGGGTCTTTGAGACCTCAGTTGCTCACTTACATTTGGCTGTGTCTTGCTGTGTTAATCATATCTAATAACAAGTGTTGTCAGATGTGATTAATACAAGCTAGACCTCTTTACTTGCCTGCATTCAAAAGAGAGGAAGTTTACTTTGTAATATGGTAGATGGTTTGATAGGAATTAAAGATTGGGGAGAAAAAAAATTGTGAGTTAAGTGAGAAAGCTTTGAGGATGGAGCCTCTGTGAACTAAAAGCAGCCATTAAAAGATTAATGATATCTTGTCCCCCATAGTCCTTCCTTTTCTTGTCTCTCTTCATTGTCTTGATAACCATCTCAATCATTTTCAGACAAGAGCTCGTGCACTACCACTCCTCTTGTGAAGAAGAGGAGGAAGAAGGACCCAAAGCCAATCCTTGGCTCTCCATCCAGTCCCCTTTGAAGTTCTCCAACAGTAAGTGGTTGCCCGAAAATATGCAGAAAAGCTCAAAAAAAGGCATTGCTGTAGAGACATCAAGGCAACCAGTTTAGTAAGAGGGAAACTCTATGAAATTTAGTATGTTTTATTGGTTAAGAGGCTTGCTAAATACTACTGAGAGGTACAGGTGCTGTTAATAGGGTTGCTCCTTATTACTTTCAACTGCTTCTAAAAATGAGTACAGGTAGTCCTTGCCTTACGACCACAATTGGGAACAAAATTTCCATTGCTAAATAAAGTGGTTGTTAAGTGAGTCTCCCCTGATCTATGACTTTTTGCTATTCATGCAGTCATTAAGCGAATCTGACTCCCCCCTCCCCCCTGTTGACTTTGCTTGTCAGAAGCTAACTAGAAAAGTCGCAAATGACAGTCACGTGACCCTGGTATTATGCAACCATTGTAAATACATGCCAGTTGCCAAGTGTCCAACTTTGACAGCGGGGATGCTGTAGTGGTTTTAGAGGACTGGTCCAGAGTCACTTTTTGCAGTGCCATTGTAACTTTGAATGGTTGCTAAACCAATGATTGTAGGTGGAGGACTACCTGTAGGTTGAAATAAATAATATCCTATAAATTTGATATTGCAGTGGGAAGCATGCAGCTGTGTTCCCCTGGGATTGGAACCCGAAGCCACAGCTGTACTGATTTGGGGTTGAGCCCTTCGCTTTTCTCCTCTCCTGCTCGGCTACTCCCCCCACACGTTCTCCAAGGTGTTCAGGAGGAGCTTTCTCCAGGTAAATTGACAGCAAGGAGGGAGGGAATCCTTACCCTGGGTGAGATCAGTTTGATAGGCAGCCTTTTTTTTTTTTTCCAAAAGCTTATCCTGTTTCTGACCAAAAAGGATGGGGTTGTACCCATATGCCCATTTCCTCCCGAGTTGATTTCTTCTCCTCTTTAAATATGAGCAGAACAAGGGGATTTAGAAAGATTTCTGGGGAAGTGGTATATTTTTAAACTGTCAAGATTATTGGCCTGTTACGGACAGCAATTCCTGTAGGAACTAAACACTAGGCACCTGAAGTCTTTATGAATCACTGGAAGCAGGTATCTGCAATGTTGCAGTGTGATTGTTTTAAGGAGGGGTGTGTTACCCTCCAGTAAATGTGACATATGGACAAGATGAAAAGAGGGAAACGGAGAGCAAATGACAAAAGTTGCTTCTCTGGAACCTTTTCTTGAAATGTGATGTGGGAAGCAGATGGCCTTTAAAACATTTTTCAAAGAATCTTTTGCTTCTTTGCAGTATTATTTGAAGATGTATATTTGTCTCCTCAGTCCAGCAATTTTTCGCATACCCCTGCTGGAACACTTTTGAGAAAGGTAAGGACTTTGCTACTCAGCTTCATATATGATATTCATCTTCTATTCATCTATTTCGGCTTGCGGAGTCTGAATTCCAGCTTTTTCCCACCTGGTGTTTTCCAGGGGCATGGAACTACAGATTCCATCATGCAACATGATGTGTACTTCCTGGTGTCAGAGTTTCTTGCAAAAATCAAATCCAGAAGCACACACAGATAAATTGATGCAGCAGGATTCATTAACTTCTTTATATTAACAATACATGAAGTAAATTTACAATACCAACAGCAGATTCACAGTTTCATTTCAGCAGAGCAGACAGCACGCACACGGACACTGATTTCAGTTTCTCTTTTCTCTGCACAGGCTCAGAAGCTGCAGACTAAGACACGCCCTGGCTCCAGTCTGTCTCAGCTCCCAATTGGCTGACTTAGTTGCTATGCCTTTTCATTGGCTGACCTTGTTACCACGCCTCCCTTCATGACTGGAATAGACATAAAATTGAATAACTTAATATTCTTCAAATACCTGTATTTGAAGACTCAAATTCACAGTTCCCTTCAAATACCTGAGAACCCTTTTACTGTGATACATCCTTTTGGTATATGTGTTATTACTCTATTTGCTAGATTTATATCTTCCCTTTCACGGAAGAGGTCAAGGCAGTGAATAGGTAATCCTCTACTTACAAACATGCATTTGGTGACTGTTCAAAGTTACACTACCACTGAAAAAAGTGACTTAGGACCTTTTTTCACACTTACGACCATTGCAGCATCCACATAGTCATATGATCAAATTTTGGATGTTTGGTAGGGAAAGCTGCATTTGCTTAACAACCGCGCAATTCACTTAACAACTGTGGTGGTTTGAAGAAGCAACTGTTACTTTATCCCATGCATAATCCCCACACTTCTGACTTATGAACAGTCAATTGTATAATATAGGTAGTCTTCAACTTACAACAATTCATTCAATGACCAAAGTAACAAAGGCACTGAAAAGAGTAACTGATGAGCGTTTTTCACACTTATGACCATTTCAGGATCCCTGTGGTCAAGTGATAAAAATTCAGACAACTGACTCATATTTATGACGGTTTCGGTGTCCCTGGGTCACGTGAGCCCTTTTTGTGACTTCTGACCAGCAAAGTCAATGGGGAAGCCAGATTCACTTAACAACCGTGTTACCTACCTTAACAACTGCAGTAATTCACTTAACAACTGTGGCAAGAAAGATCGTAAACTAAAGCAAAACTCACTTAACCAATGACTCACTTAGCAATAGAAATTTTGGGCTCAATTGTGATTGTAAGTCGAGGACTATCTACATAGTGTTCTTGCCTCCTGTTTTTCCCCACCACAATCACTGTGAAGTAGATTGAGTTGAGAGTGTGTGACTGACCCAAAGTCACGTAGTGAACTTCTGTAGGAATCTGTCCATGAAGACTCTCAGTCATTCAGGCAGTCGTTAAGTGAGGCTTCCCTGGTGTTCCTGTGCAGTGATCTTAATCTTCCTAAGATTATGATGCAAGAGCAGCATAAAATCTTCGTGAGGATTGATATAAGAGCTGTATCCACCTAGGAGAAAGAAAAGATTCAGGACTCTTTCATCTAACAGGCCTACTCAGATTAGGTGAGACATGAAGCCATCCTGGAGGACCTATTTGGGGTCCCCCTAACCAACTTGCTCAGACTCCAGAAACTACTTGAATAAGCAGTGAAACATTTGGAGCCAACAAGAAAAATCCAGTGGCCATGACTCAACTTCCAGTGAATTTCTGCAGCTGGGACTGGGCTTCCACTCAGGATTCCTGGCTTCTAGTCTGACACCTTAATGCTCCCCGTCCTGGGTCTCTGTATTGTTGTTCCAGATATAGCCACTGCCTTGAAAAAGGCAGCCTGGTCTGTTGTGTGTCCTTTTTACTTCTCTCCATCTGAGGTGGTTCTCACACACTTGCCCTTTGTAATTGATTGTAATATCAAAGGTTGACTGGGGAATGTTAATGAATAACTCTGCAACACAGTTTCCTATTGTTACCTCACACGGGATATTTTTCAGTGGGGACTGATTAACATACATGGCTTGAGACTAATTGCATATACTGTGTAATTGTCCAGCGAAATATTTTTATGTACTTATACAGTATATGCACTTACCTGAAAAGCAGACTGAGAAGCTAAGAATGGTTTAATGGTGGAGCAGAAGTTTTGCATTCAGAAGACCATCAGTGTCCTTGTATCCTTGAGCTACAATGTAGGGTAGCTAATAATTCTCTGAAGACCTTGGAGAGCTTGGTCAGTTGCAGTCAATGGCATTGGATTATATCTGGAATATGCAGGTTTCTTTTAGGGTAAGGGCCATACTTTGCATCCGAATTGTGTGCCAGAGACACACATTCAACAGGGTAAAGAAATGAGAAGACATGGGAGTAAATTATTTTAGAACAGGAAAGAAAAATTAAACAGTTACTATGGCATTTCTGTAACAATTTTAAAAGTGTCCTGGGAGCCATGTGCTTTTCTTAAAATCTACAATGTGTAATATCTTAGTCAACATGTAGTTCCTTCAATGGTCAAACTCCTTGGCTCTTGCAGTGCCCAATGGCATGCTTATTTATTTTTATTTGAATAGCCTTTCTAAGTTTCAGTAAGCAATTCTTTGAGATTAAGACACTGTCCCAGTTGTTAACAACTCTGCAAATCATGCACAGCTAAACTGATTTCAGTTTAAATGATAAGGAAACAAGATTGAATGGTATTTTAGACAGGGTTTTGTGTTGGTGACTGTTATATACATGCATGTAAAATCTTACATTTGAAGCCTAATATAATTTTCTGTTCTTCTTTCCTTTCCCTGTCTTCATTAATTCAATTTACAATGCCATCCCTCTGATTTCTTCCTTCCTCTCTTGCAGTCAGCATTCACGCTGGATCACTGTTACCTTTCCTACAGTGAAGCAGGTAAAACCGAGTCCAGCCCCATGTCAAGAGTGAATGAAATATTATCCTCGTGGAGCGAACAAATCCAAGAGGTGGGGAATGGATTGTGAGGAACGGAACTGGTAATTTGTGAGCCAGAGAAATCAGGTCATGGAATCTTCTAATGTCCTTATAAAGGCCTATATTTAACTATATATTTTTCTGTCCAAGAAGTAGTCATTGTCACCTATATTGCTACGGCTTTAAAACAAAACTAAAGAAATTCATTGAGAAGCTATTAATACTGCAGCTGTAAATCAGTTGTACATTGGTTAAAGGATCAGAGGCAGCACCCTGAGTTTGAACACCAGTGGTTAGAAACAATAGAAGTTGTCATTGTTCAGTCTTTTGATCACTTTTGATTCTTTATGATCCGATGGACATAATGTTTATGTCATTTTCTGTCTTACTGGAGACTTGTAGAATTCAGATAGGCTCAACTTCCATTTATTTTAGCAAGAGTTTCACAAATCCTACTGACTTTTAATAAAACCTTCACATAAATACACACAGAAGAGAAAGTTAAAATACCACAGAGTAATGAAATTCTTAATTTGAATCAAATACATGGTTCCAAAAGTGTTGTAAGTTGAAAGGTTTTACATGCTTTTTAATGTTTATAGGCAGTTATGACACACATACCCAACTGTACAAGAATTTAAAAAATGAGTTGTAAAAAGAACCCTGCTGGATGATCAGACCATAGGCCTATCCGTTCTATGGGGGTTTGGATAATGTTTTGTAATAATCTTACACTGTTTTCTTTATTGACTGACTACAATGAGTATCACTCATTTATATTAGTGTAAAATTTAAGCTATGTTGATCATTTTAGTACATGTGTGTACTTGTTCATACTTCAAGGACGTTTTGTGACAGGAAGATGTTGATACTGTGATACTCAATAGAAATTGACATCCAAGATCATTACAATCCTGGATACTAGATCAGTGTATGTTTTACTCCTGTATATTTTTACAGTATAATATTTCTCCATTAATTAAACTATTTCAAGTACATCTTACAGGTAGTCCTCAACTAACGACCACAATTGAGCCCAAAATTTATGTTGTTAAGCAGGTTTTGCTCCATTGTACAAGTTTTCTGGCCACAGTTGTTAAGTGAGTCACTGCAGTTGTTAAGTTAGTAACATGGTTGTTAAGTGAATCTGGTTTCCCCATTGACTTTGTCTGTCAGAAGGATGCCAAAGGTGACCCCATGACCCTCAACCGCCATAAATGGGAGTCAGTTGTCAAGCATCCGAATGTAAATCAGGTGACCATGGGGATGCTGCAACGGTCATAAGTGTGAAGAGTGGTCATAAGTCACTTTTTAAAGTGCTGTTGTAACTTCAAATGATCAGTAAACGAACTGTTGTTAAGTTGAGGACTCCCTGTATTATATCCTAATTTAATTAGGGATTAAGCGATTAGTCAGGGAATTGCGCAGGAAGTGTCCAAATGAAGTCAGAGATACTGACACAAATTTGTAGTTTTGTATATATATATGCGTGTATGCGTGTGTGTGTGTATATATATGTATGTATGTATATATACATATATACACACATACAAATATATATATGTGTGTGTGTCTGTGTATCTTTATATATGTGTGTGTGTGTATAATATATATATATATATATATATATATATATATATATATATATATTTATTTATTTATTTATTTATTTATTTATTTGTATATATATGTGTGTATGTACACACACACGTGTATTTAGGCATATATATATGTCAGGCACATCGTGAGGTAAATCTAAAAGAGCAATACAGAGCAAACCCAAAGAAAAAAGGCGGGAAAAAAGGGACCCTCCCCCTTTACATCCAGCCACCAATCCCAGCATTGATCGCCTCACAGGAGCCCGCCCTCTCCAGTCAATCAGCTGCATGTCCTGGCCCATCCTTATGCTTTCCAAACATTGCAGCCCCTGGATGAAATATCCTAAGATGGCCGAAATCATCTTCCTGCTAGACCAAGCTCTGTTTTATTCCCCGGGAAATTCCTGGACCTCAGCTGCCATTTCCCCGGCCTCTTTCTGTGCCTTCCTCTTTCAGGGAGCCCCCCTGGTGAGACCCGAAGGCCCCGGCTCCTCCAGCGAGGAGAACAGCGACTGCACCTGGACCCCCTGCCCCAGGGCCAAGGCCGCGCCAGGAGCCCCCCCGAGGAAGAAGAACAAGAAGAAGCAGAAGCAGAAGAAGAAGACGATGGCCGGCAGGAGAGCCAGGCGCCCACCGGCAGGCGCCGAGAAACGCAGCAACGCCTCGTCCCCCTTGCAGCTGAAGAAGAAGTGCGTGAACGGCTTCATCATGTTTTGTCGCCTGAACCGCAAGCACTTCATCCGGTGAGGGCTGGGAGACGAAACCCCAGTGGACCCAGGCATTTGCTACGATTAGCAGGCCGGCAGCGGTTTAGTTTTTCTCAAAATACAGCTAGTCCTCGACTTACAACTGCAGCGGAGCCCGACATTTCTGTGGCTCTGTGAGACGTGTGTTAAGTGAAGCTTTGCCCCCTTTTACAGCCTTTCTTGCCACGTTTGTTAACTGCATCCCTGATGTTGTTAAGTTAGTCATATGTGGTTAAATGAATCCTGTGTCCCCAGGGACTTGGTTTATCAGAAGGTTGCAAAAGGGGATCACGTGACCTGGGACAATGCAAGCGTCATAAATATGAGTATCAGTTGCCAAGCATCCAAAGGTATATCAGGTGACCGTGGGGATGCATCTGAATGTAAATCATGTGATCACGGGGATGCTGCAATGTTCATAAGTCTGAAAAGTGGTTATAAGTTGCTTTTTTCAGTGCTGTTGTAATCACTAAATGAACCGTTGTAAGTCAAGGGCTACCTGTATATCATCACTTCTAGAGTAGGCCTGTAATGTCAATTATTGTCCTTTCTTTCTGTTCTTATAGAGGAAGTTGGGGCTAACTTATTTACAGCCCCAGTGAGCTCTTTGGTATACTGAGATTTAACTAGAGACTTTTAAATTCAAGGCCAATAGCGATTTGAAGCCTTGTAATTACTATACTGCCATCAGAAAGCATTTAGGGAACATTTACAAAAATGGACAAATAAATAAGGGAGCAAATCCTCAAAAGACCAATTATTTTAGCAATAAAGCAACAACATATAATAAATATGTCAAAAAATACAAAACATTCACACAATACACTTACCAAGATCAGTTAGGACCAAGAAACTGTATTTGCAGAACATTTGGCCTGGGTTAGCAATAACATTTAGACTTACATACTGCTTCGCAGTGCTTTACAGCCCTCTCTAAGCAGTTTACAGAGTCACCACATTGCCCCCAACAATCTGGGTCCTCATTTTACCGACCTCGGAAGGATGGAAGACCAAGTCAAACCTTGAGCTGGTCAGGATCGAATTCCTGGCAGTCAAATTCCTGGCTTGTGCAATGCTCATTACAGAAACATTGTTTTCTTGAAACCTTTGAGGGATTTAGGGACATTGACAATATCTTGGCTGCCTGCTTCTCATAAGTTTGATCAAACAAATGTTTTAATCTCTACATAGCACTTGCCCAGGCATGGCTTCCACTGCAGCTACAAGGGAGCTGGCCCAGCTGTGGCGTATGATGACAAAGCAGGAACGGAAGCCATATTGGTATGTTTGCTTTGGGCAACAGTGGATAATGGGATCAGTTAATCCTTTGGAGAATCAGTCAGCCATGTTGTAGAACAAGAGTGTTCAACTTCAACTCCCACAATTCCCCAGCCAGCTAGACAGATAATTCAAACAGAGAAACCTTTGTTAGGCTCTAAACTTCCTTTTTATGCTCTTTCTCACAGCATGAAAGCTCGCCGATTCAGCCGCCTCAACAACCGAATTGTGAGAGACGACTTCTCCAGTGGCGATGAGGAACCAGAACCACCCAAACCTTTCCACTTGCTGCTTGCTGAGAAATCCATTCCTGGCACCCAGGCAGTGGGCAACGTCTCTTTGTTAGGCTGTATTCCATGATTCTTCCCCACTGTGATGGTAATGTATTTCTGTTCAGTGGGCTCTGGAACCCTCTCTTTGCTGATGATGTTGGAACTTCCCTACCACGGTTCTGCAATAGCGTGTGTGTCTACTTCATTTTCAGCAAAATATCAAGCAATAGAAGCTTTACTTGGTCTTGTTGAAAGGGGAATGTAGGGGGAGTGTAGAGAAGCAACAAGGAAGGAGGCCATTTACCCTGTTTTTCCCCAAAACATCAGCTTTCCCCATCTATTTTCCTTGCTTAGCCTTGTATCATATCCCACCGCCAGTATTTCATCTGTCATTATGCATTTTGGTTTCCTGAGCAGAACGAAGACGTTGATAGATGGGATGGTTTTTTCCCCAGATTTCCAGATGTTCCAGTCACTACAGTCCTAAATATATGCTATTCTATTCTACCTATGTCCAAAACTGATTTCTAGTGACCTTGAACAAAGCAGGATCGACTGCAGGGAGGAAACAGCATAAGGAGAACTTCTAGCTCTAGATGACTGGACCATGTTGGTCTATTTGAGAACATGCCAAGTTTGAGATATTTATATTAACTTGTATCCTTGATCTAAAAGCACAAATGCATTTGAAAGGATCTACTTTTAAAAATAATTTTAATGGACTGGAGACAAAAATCTAAGATCTATATTTATTGTCTAAGCTTTTATTTGATCTTCGTCTCCCACAGCTTTGTTCTCAGATCCATCAGTTTAGTTACCAGCAGTTTAGTTCCATATTTGGCAAGTACAAATGAATTTTTGAGGTCCGTATAGGCTTGCTTGTTCCACACCAAGTTTCAGGCTTTATTATATAGTAAATGGTTTCTAGATGTTTTAAACTTTTAACTGAGGCAAGTCCATTTCAGAGCTTGCTCTGGATGGCATTGAGTTCCCACTGACCCTGTTAGGCTGGCCAGTTCCTCAAAATCCTAAGGAAGGAATAATTCTGCAGGTTTGCTTTTGTTCCAGGAGAGTTAGGAAGTTTTAAAGAGACGAAACTGGTTCTGAGCTAAGGAGGATTAATGCTTCATATTGAGAAGGGAGAATTTTGTCTTTAGGAGGAGCTTAAATCAGACTCTTATATTTCTGGTTGGTTTGGATTTTGTTTCGGTGGAATGCTGAGTCATCCCTTTCCTCTTTTGGACTGTGTCCTCTATACACAGATCAATTTGTGTTTGAAATACTGTTTTAAGCTTCAATGGATTTTTCCATTGTTTTTACCTATTTATATATTTATTGGTAGTTTCCCCCCCACCTCTATTTATAATTAAAATAAAATATGGCAGTAAAATTAACTGATTCGGTGCCTCTGTGTCTCTTCTCTGATCTGAGCGATTATGAAAGTGAAAGATATCAGAGAGTAATCAATATATATTTAGATAACTCTCATGTCATGTCGGCAGCTGAACTCCTAATCATGCCTTAACAGATAGCAGTCCTCAACTTAACAACCATCCGTTTAGCAACGGTTCAAAGTTATAATGACACTGAAAAAAGTTACTTTTGGGCATCCCTCACACTTATGACCATGGCAACACCCCCATGGTCACCTGATCACAATTCAGGCACTTGGCCATCATCGTGTTTTGAAGAAGGTTGCAGCATCCTGGGGTCATGGGATTGCCCTTTGCCACCTTCCAGGCCAGCTTCTGATAAACAGTCAATGGAGGAAATCAGATTCACTTAACAAGTGCAGTGATTCGTTTAACAACTATGGCAAAACAAATTCATAAAACGGAACACAACTCACCTTGCCCTAGATAAACTTTTTTTTTCCAATTTTACATTTATTTAAAAAATAGACAGAAAAACACGATTTGGCTTTGATGGACTACTTGCACGTCATTGGATTCCATTCAAGGAATCAGTCCCCAAAGGCCTAAATACCCATCCTACACCTTTCAAGAGGGATATTCCAGGATTATCCCAATCCTATGAACTCTTGCGGGATCTCTCTGCAAAGAGAATCACAGCAGATCAATACCAGGCTTTTCCCATCTCCTTCATTTCTTGGTTCCATTTGAAATCCCCTCAAATGCGGTTCTCTATCCAATTCATTAAGGTTCTTGGCACTGTGATATGCAAATCACATCTGTTCTCTCTAGGGGATAAGTGTTTGAATGTGCTCAGCTGTCCAGGCCTAAGTCCTAATTAATCTTAATTGGGTGCTTTCTACTTTAAACAGATGTTCCTGCTGCAGACACCCATCCTGACCTTAAACTCGTGATTCTGTGCTGTTAGTTGCTTGTCTGCTCTTTACTTTTGCTTGGTTCTATAGCTGTTTTTGCAGCTAAGTGACTTTCCTGCCGTTGCTTTAGGGTGCAGAGAGTGGCTTTGGCCAGTCAGGAAATGTGCAGATAGAAGAAATTTCAGATCGGATGGCTTCAGCTTTTCTCACAGTTAGAAAAACACGTGACATTTTCCACCCCCGTGGAACGTGATTCGTTTTTGCTCAATATCAAATGTGATGATGATTCAATATGGTTGTACCACAGTTTCCCTCTTACAAAGAGACACAATGTGATGATCCTTGCAGTTGGAAACGGGACTATTTACATGCAGAGGGGCTAGAACAAAGAAGCAACTTGCTGAGAATGTGGCAGTGTCTTAATGTATTTTTTTCAGGATCCCAGATTTACGAGAGTGGAAGTGAGGGACCCCAGGAGGCCATTGTGGAGGGGTTGGTTCTGCAGGTAATCCACCCGTTGGGCATTGTGAATGGAGGATCCCTCGGGAACTGAAAGCTGCAAGGCCGGGTAGAGGAGTGAGGGGCTGTCAATGGGGGAGCTTTCGTCCTCAGAGCTGGGGATCATGTGTCTGTCTCGGGGCAGGCCATGCCCTTCCTTCAAAACGCCGCCCTCGCCATTCTCCCTGCAGTCAAAAAGAAAGAGACAATGCCAAAGTCCGTGTGATTCCGAAATTCTATTGCCAAAATGCCAACTAAATCGGTTGGTCTTAAAAGGTAATCTAATCAGTTGTGCGTGTTAATAAATATTTCAACCTTCTCTGATCTGGGATATTTCAGGGGTGCCTGCAGCATATTGTCAGAAAAATCAAGAGGGTGGTCCTAATGGGGAGATTAAACCCCCTCCTGTTTTTACCTGTGATTTATTAGATTTTTATTCGGTCTTTATTACTTTAGAATTAACTCAAGACAGCAAACATACGTAATATTCTTCCTTTCTCCTGTTTTATCTGTGTTTTACATAAAAAGCAGGCAAAGCTTCAGTTGATCTATCATTGCCACCTTCTTGAATTTAGGGACAGATATTTTTAAAATTCATTTATTAGCCATAACATATAGTTAAATCCACGCATCTTAAAATGGCTGGGGTTGAGAAACGCTGCCTTAGTGGCAGAAGTAGTGGAATGGAAGATGGAAAAGGAAGGGAGATCTTTCCCTTTCCTTTTCCAAGCGTTGGGGGAATCTCATCTGAGATTCCCCCAACGCTTCAGTTCTACATCTGCTCATGTCTCAGTCCTCATTTCCTGGCTCACCCTAGCCATCATCTGCATATCTAGCCCCAAGACCACTTTTCTGCCCCAGGTCCCAAAGGATTTTCTGTATGCTGCTGCTTTAAGAAATTTAATTTAAACAATATATATATATATATTGTAAGCCTCCCAGATTTAACCATGTGGCAAGATGGGTAGCTAAATAAATAAATTCAGAATAGTTGGCTTGAATTTCCTGCTGGCAGAGAAGCCCCCTCACCTCTCTTTGGTCTCTGCTGCACGGTCTCTCTGGCGCCGGTTCTTGAACCAGTTGCTGACCTGAGTTGTGGTCAGCCCAGTAGCTTCTGCCAGTTCTCTTTTCTCACGAGGGGATGGGTAGGGGTTGTGGATATACCATTCCCTTAACACACTCCGGGATTTTTCCTGTAGGAGAGTGGAAAGTCATTGAACTTAGCATTGCAGGTAGTCCTCGATTTATGGCAGTTTGTTTAACAACAGTTTAGTGTTACGACAAATTCCCACAAGCAAAGGCAATGGGGGAAACCGGATTCACTTCCCAGCAGTAAAAATGGTTGTAAAATTGGGTCTGGTCACATAGTGACTCGCTTAATGACCACATCGTGTCGCGGCTGAAATTCTTGTCCAAGTTGTGGTCATATTGTGGGCAATATAAATTTTCCAAATAAATAAAATACCTCAAGGCCCCATCAAATCCTCTTAAATCTTTTCTTCCCCTAAAATAGTGGCACTGAACTCTAACCTTCCCAGATAGAGACAGCAGTTTCAGTTTTTTGAGCATTTTTATTGTTAATTTGTAAACATTTTCCAGCTGGGGCAATCAAGTCTATATTTGCTATAAATGTATTTAGTGGTCTTTAGCTTCTTTTTGCAGGAATCTAAAAACAGTAACCTGATTGCAGTTTTCCTATAATTTCAAATTTTGGAATTTTCTAAATTTGTATTTTGAACTGCTGCAAGTAACTTTGTCCGCTTTTGCCGTTAGACCAACTTCAAAAGCAAACAGTATTGTTTTAAGTGTATATATTTCAAGGTCAGGTTAAATGTTACAATGTAACCCATAGGGGGCAACGTCATCATTCTTTGATTTGGTTGTCTTTCAAAAATGAGCACCCAATTCCATCCCCTTCTTTTATTTTTAATTCAAGGGTGAAATTTTGCAAAGCCTGAAGGTTTGGGCTGTTTCTGTAATTTAATGGCAAAGAAAAAGCTTGCTTGACTGTAATAACGGAGCTAGGGCATATATTATCTCCCTCTGCTGCCAAAGGCTGCATAAAATAAATGTGTTTTGAAACTTTTCCAGAATGTTCTTGGAGATGCATGATTAGGGCCTCCTTCAGATGATTATTTCAGAATGTTTCTGGAGGAATTTAGAGGAAGTGGGAAACGGCATGAAAGACTGAAGCAGGCAAGAGACCCCTTCCCCAACTATTTCCTGATCTAAATTTTGCAGTAAAGAAGATGAATACAAAGGAAAGGGTAACAGGAAAAGAATGGCAGGAAAACTTGTATTGTGTATTTTCAGTTGACTTTTAAAGATGTAGGCAAGACGTTAAAAACTTGAGCAGTGATGTAAAGTGAGACTCCTGAACCTTACACAACCCCTGAAAGTTTGTCATCCAGGGCTCCTTTAAAAGTGGCTATAATTTTTCCTTTTTTCATAACAACAATAACAACAAAAAAGTAAAGGGTAAACCCAAAGAGAGATCCTTATTCTTGTACAGATCTTTAATTATTTAACAAATTAAATTAACCAGAATTAAATCAGGTAAAATTTTAATCTTCACCCAAGAAGCATTTTTGTCTTATCCCCTTTCTAGTTCCTGAAATAGAACCTCAGTTTCCAAAGACCAAGGGCAGCGCTCAGCCTGAAAAAGTTTTATGTCCCAGTGATTAAAAGGACATTTCAAAGGGCAGGTTTCTTTTATCAAGCCAGCGTTATAGCGAGACTAGTAGGAAAAAAGAGTAGGATGGAAAAGTTGAAAAGAAACAAAGAGATGGGGTTCAGCATGAAAGATTTCTTGGCAGGAGAAGAAAGTAGGAGTGTTAGATCCATAAAAGAGGAAACAGAGGCAATGCAAGGGCTTAGAGATTAAAATAAAATACCCTAATGGCAGTTAGGTAAAAGCTATTCCAGTGGAAATAAAGTGACCCTAGAGTTGAATGTGATAGAAATACAGAAGGATAATTAGAAGAACATAATAGATTTAGGCAAGAGCAGACTTGTTATAACCTTACTGGAGTATCAAGTTGTTTATCCCAAATATAAACTTTTCAAAGAACAATTGATGGTTTTTGTGCTTGAAGAATTGAAATGTTTGGGTGTTGGAAACAGAGTTTTCTTTGTTAGGAGTGGGATGGCCACAAGAGTTGAGAAATACCCCTAGACCAAAAAAAAAAAAAAAACAATTCCAAGAAGACCTACCTTGAAACAGTAACTGGTTTCCTCCCCGTCCCAGATAGTCCGAGGCAAAGGGAATTTGCGACGCACCCGGTATTTTCCCACGGCTCCCAGCGGCCTTCCACGCAACTTCTCTGCTTCAGTGTAGTGAGCTTTGAGCCAGAGTTGCTGAAGTTTGGGGTGATTGTGGGGAGAAAACTGATAGCCCTCTAAGATCTTGTAGAGCTCTCGGAAATTGCCCCGATGGAAAGCCACCACTGCTTTGGCCTTCAGGACGCTCTCGTTCTTGTGCAGGTGGTCACAAGCTGGCAGGGACCAGAGGAAACGTCCTAAGCGCTCAATGTTGCCCCCTTGTTGTAAGACTTCACACACGCAAGCCACTTGCTCTTGCGTGAAGCCAAAATTCATGGTTAAGTGGGAAATAATGTGCTCTTTCCCAGAAGACCTCAAGTGGAGGCTCCAAAACTTTGTGGCTTTCAAAGGCAATTTACGGCGGCCCACCAAGGCCACCCAACATCTACCCTGTAGAAGACCCTGCTGCCCTTGATGCAAAGATAATCCTCTGTGGTTGGAAGACCAAGTCAGCTTGCCTCGCTAAGACAAGAGAGTCCAAGAGAAGTGGAAGGCCACACTGGTGCCTTCCACCTTCCTCACTTTGGTGGCCATGTCTCTTCTCTCCTCTCCAGGTCTCGGTGCTCCCAGGACTCCTTTCCCTTGTCTTCTGGCTCTAGAGACAGTTGCCCAGGGTAGATGTCTTGGGGGGTATCGGTTACAGGCCCAGCCCACACAGTCTGCAGCTGTGGCCAGCCATTGGCCAACTCCGCAAGAAGAGCGAGAGAGACTTCTACCACGTCACCCTGGGATGGTAAACCTTTCAGTGGAGGAGGTTGTGGGGGGTATGGAAATGTGAGATGCCCCCTACAGAGGGGGGAGCAGGAGACCCACAGAAAAGGAAAGACTTGGCAGATCTGCTCAGAGGTCAGGCTGTTTATCCCAAACCAGAGCTTTTTTGGTTTGCACCTTATTTCATGCTGGCTCCGGCGTGGCTATTGTTGATTATTGTTAAGTGACAAAGAGCTAAACAGGACACAGATGCTTCTGCAGCCACTGCTCAACTACCGTCCCTAAGCTCCAAGCTCCTTATCACATGTACTCGTCTTCAAGGTTATCTTATCCGTTTTTCAAGGGCTTCACGCCTCTCCTGAAAAAGGGAAAACTCAGAAGGACAAGAAGAGCAAAGCTCCTCTTTCCAGAACAAACAGGTGTGGGTGGCTGGCTCCTCTGCCTCTTGCTGAGCAAAACAAGTGGGATTTTTCATGGGGTGGCCTGGATCCCTTTGACAGGGGCTTTGTCTCCCTTTGTTCCTGGCCTCGCCAGGTGGTGACAGCGCAGGCAAAGAGCAAGGTGGCTGCCTATGCCGTTTCCTGCTCTTCCCATGCAGAGATCATGTTTCGGACTCAGCAGGCAGCTATTCGCAAGACAAATAACCTGTTGCAACTTGCAAAAAAACAAGAGGCTTTTTGCAGCTGCAGGCGAGAGCCATATCCATTACCAGCCAGGGATGGCTGGAAGGCAAGGCTGTGTTTGATTCATTGGCTCATGGCGGGATCTCTGCAGGATTTCAACTCTCCGCATGGGGGATCCTTCCTTCCCCTACTGGGGCTTAAGGGCTATCCTTGCTCCATGCTCAGGTGGCACCCCCGAGCATCGCTTGATGGGCTGCTTTCTTCTTCCTCATTCAACAAAAAGAAGCAACTTTGTTTCTCCCTCATTTCCAGCACATAGAAGTTAAATCTTTTTGAAAGATGGTTAAGTGGCCGAAGCGTCTGGAGCGGGTGGATCAAACCTCAAAATAGAGTAGCTGTAGCGATGCGATGAAGCTTGATTTTTTTTGGACCATGTCTTGGAGACGTGCTATCCAGTAGCTGTTTCTGGCACATCCCTCAAGCAGGAAGAAGGAGTTGCCTTAGAATGAGGTACCCTTTGAAAAATGAGGAATCGCAAAATATAGCAATTTGTTCATTATTTTTTTTTAAGGTAGCAGATTGCATTTTAATTACCTAGGCTGTCTTAAACAGTTGAAGGCAAGGTGGGACATTTATCTAATGGAGTGTTTCTCAACCGTGTCAGCTTTCAAATGTGTGGACTTCAAGTCTAGAATTCCCCAGCTGACATGCTATTGACATTTAGTATATATTATATTCAATATTAATCTAATGCAGCTTTTCTCAACTTTCAGATGCATGGACTTCAACTCCCAGAATTCCTTGTTGGCTGGGGAATGCTGGGAGTTGAAGTCCACACATTAGATGAATATTGAATACAATACATACTGAATATACTATATATTTCATACATCTATCGAATACAGATGAGTGTGAAGTTGCCGAGGTTGAAAAAAACTGATCTAATGAATAAATCAAACTCGCATGCATAAATCTGACTGGTTTTGTTCTACTGCTTCATGTTGCTATTCCTGTGGTCTACTTTTCATCCCTCCAGCAATTTACAAGCTATTCTCCTTCCTGCATTTTTCATACCAGCGCAAGATTTAATCCCTGCAAAGGGTTAACCTCACCTGAGATTCGGTCTGGGTCCCTCCAGCCCCCTCCCATGCTTTATCTTCCAATTCAAGGATCAGAAAAGCGCCCCCTGGCTCCCACCCAAGACGGTATTACTTACACAGCCATCTGGGTAACACGATCCAACCTGGATCGCTTTACTTCTTCCCGGGGGAAGAACCGGCTTTGTTCTGGGGTTGAAGCTGCCCCAGGTTCACAAGCCCGTTTTCCACAGGAAGCTCCCAGGTTGCTCCCCACACACTGGAGGGCTGCAGGAATGACCATCTGTTTGAATCTTTTATGCTTTATGGGAGGCAGGGGGGATCCACGGTGGTCGAAAAAGGCAAGAGGATGACCCCGAGTGTATATACACACTAGTAACTGTAGAACCAGGGTCAAAAGTGGCTCCAGGTATCACAGATTTCAACACCCATTAGTCCCAGCCAGCAAGAGCAATACAACTAAGAGAGTGTGGGCTTTGTAGTTTCAGCAGTCTAGAGAGCCAGGTGACTTTACCAGATGCAAACTTGAAAATGTGCAAATTTGAAAATGTGGTTTAAACATCGACAACTTAACATTCCCCAACTATGGAGACAAACTATTTCATAAACCAGTGTACAATCTGAATTCCCCGTAGAATGAACATAGGCACAGAGACAGAGTTTTAGGATAAAATATATATTTATATATATTCATATATATAAAATATATATAAAAGACACAAAAAGATGTAAAAAAAAACAAAGGAGAGATATAAAAATATCTTATAGAAATGATTGCTTCTCACAAACGGTGGGAACAGATGAGTTTCTTTAGTACCTGACGGGAGAGAAGGCACATTTAGAGAAATTACAATGCTATATTTGCATAACCAAGAAAGTGGTAGTGTTGGAACACAACAGTTGCTTCGCTGTACTAATGGGATTTTTCTCAACAGAATGAATTGTGAAGTTTCCCATCTTACAATATTTTGAACCGAGTGGACCTCAACTCAGTAAAAACCTTCAGAGATTCCAAATAATTCAGAAAGAGGTTGTTTGCATGTATTTAAAAGTGGGGGGGGGGGGGAATCACTTGAGTTACACATTTTTGAACTAATTGCAATATTTCTTAGCATGAGGGTTAATGGAGAAATAGATGTGATAGGTAGTCCTCAATTTATGACTGGTCAGTTAGTGACCGTTCAAACTTAGAACAGACCTACTTTGGGGTGACTTGTAACCCAGATTCAAAGTTCTGCCAGTCTCCCCCCCGTCATGTGACCAAATGTCAGGCACTCAGCAACACATATTTACACCAGTTTGCAGCATCCCATGTTCACATGACTGCATTTTACGATGGTTTTCCTGAAAATTGGGCTTTATGTCTGGGTTTCAGCAAAATCGCTCCCCTAGCAAAGTACTGGTTTGCTTAACGACCAACCCCCCTAAAAAAGGTCGCACAATTAGGTCGGTTACATGACGGATCTGTTTTATGACTGTCACAACTAATAACCATGATGGGCAGGCTCCATTACGGTCATAAGTGGAAGGACTACCTGTCTTTAAAAAAGTCAGACCTGTCTGGGTCAGAACTTGGAACGGATAAGTGTGTGAAATATAAATTTCAAAGTACTGTAGTGCCGTTTTGCAATGGCAAAAATGCTTGCAAATGTGTACCCTTTAGAAGTGGGCACACAAATGGCAAATGTGCATATTTTCTTTTGTGTGAAACATGCAGAGCTGTCTGCACAGATCGGTCCAAAAGGACAAGATGGCCGCCTCCTGTGATCAAAGTCCCGCCCCTTTACACCTATAAATGAGATGGGCCTTTCATTGCATAGTTGCAGCCGCCATCTTGACTTTTTTTTACCCTTTGCAAATTAGATATTCTGCAATTGATGTTAAAACTCCTGATAGAAAGTTCAGTCATTAAAGTGAGGGTCAGATGGAAGCAAATCCCTACCAAGTCGTAAAGTGCAAATAAGCTGCTTTATACTCTACAGGTAGTCCTTAATGTAGGACAACTGGGACTGGCAATTTGGTGGTAAATCGAGGCATGCATGATTGGAGGTGATTTTATGACCTTTTTGCCAGCGGTCGTTAAGAGAACATGATGCTCCTAAGTCCATTCATTTGAATGGGAATTTTTGCCGGAAAACTATTAAAAAATGTCACAAATTGTGGTCAACCAGTTGCCAAGTGTCCAAAATGTGGTCACACCACAGGCGAGGGCAGGGTAGTGTGACCATTTAGGATGGCTGGTGGGTGCTTTACAGGCCATAAAGTAACTGTTCCTTGGTCAGTGTAAATATGAACGGTCGTGAAGCAACTTCTCGTAAGTCAAGGACTACCTGTAGAGCTCTGGGCTATCTAGTTTAGTTTAGTTCTGTCCATATTGACTAAAGGCAATTCTCCAGGGTTTCCTCAAGAATATTTCTGTTTCAGCTAGAAAAACCAGGATTTCCATCTGCAATTTTCCTCTGCAAAAATTGTCTTTACAACAAAATATTTTTGCTTATACGGAACATGTTTTAATGCTTAAAAAAAGCATTAATATTTCTAAAGGACATGTAAACAGATAGCCTATTAGGAATGTTTAATGCAAGATTATTCTATTACACCACTGTTTTTCAACCTTGGCTACTTTTAACATATATAGACTTCAATGTCCAGAATTCCCCAGCCAGCTGCATTAGGGAATTCTGGAAGCTGAAGTCCATACATCTTAAAAGTAGCCAAAGTTGAAAAACACTGTATTAAGCCTTGACTTTCTCCATGCTATATGTGGCATCTTCAATTTATAATAAATTCCAACTTCATTCATGCCTGGGATAGCTTTCGTTCTTAAAATCCACTCATAAGTTACTCAATTTCCTAAAGGTTGTATGAATGTAGTGTGAATAAAATAGTACTTTCCCCCCATTATATCCACATGATAGAAACAGGCAGCAGAATTGCATCTAATTTACACAAAGTATGGGGAATTGTGTTTTTAGAAGGCCTGTCTTTTAGAAACAGATTTTATGCATTTTTTTTTCAGCACTGGCTTTAGGATTTCAACGTGTCCAAAGAGAAGCAATCCATTTTGGGGAGGATTACTTGGGGAGGAACTCCATTTTGCAATAACACAGAATTATTTCCCTCTCTAAAGCCGTTCTATTCATCACAGGTGAAAGTAACTATGGTGGACAGCTGCCTTTGGCTCTCAGTCCAAAAATACAAAGATGTTCTAGAGTAACTCAACATTATTGTGGCTTAAGAAGCTCGTTCTGTATATAGAATCTAGGTACCATGTAACTGTAGGACCAACCTGTGCAGAATCCACACCATTTTTGCATTGTCCATGGATAGGATGGTCATGGTTAGCCTGGCCTTTTCTTAGTCCTCTTATCTTCAGATTCAAAACGTCTGTTCCACCAACAAGGCACGTGTGCAGGTTTATCGGAGGGACATCCAAGCTGCCCTTTTCTGCTCTGAAGGACAAGATCTATTCTGAAACAGGGTTATTCGAACTAAGATTGCACGCTCGTCACCCAGAATGGCCTTCTCCAACTTATCTATCAGGACCGCTCCAGATGTGCTCAGTTTTCTTCCCCTTCATTATCTCCATACTTCCAGAGGTGACCTTTTTCAGGGATGACAGGCTGTCCTCAACGCCACCGAAAAAACGCCCAAGAACGAAAGCATGGAAATGGGATAATTTTCCTGCCTCTCCAATTTGGGGATTTGGGATCATCCCTAGCACCATGGATGAGAGGACAGGAAATATTTCTTTGCATCATAAGATTTCCCTGGATTGAGTGAGACATTCCCAGCTTCCCAAGATGTAGTGTGACTTTGAAAATAGAGAGGCATGTCTAGTAGAAAGGAAATTCAAAGGGGAGATGGAAGGAAATGTCTGACCTTCACAATGAGGAATGGATGCAGCTCTTCCTTTGCTGTGTGAAGCATTTCTTGACTTAGGACCACAATTGCGACTGGAATTTCAATTGTCAGTTGTTGCGGTTGTAAATCAAGGCACTGCATGACTGGACTTGATTTTAAGACCATTTTTTTACAGCAGCTGTAAGGTGAGTCACCACAGTTGTTAAGCAAAACATGTGGCCATTAAGCAAATCCATTCTTCTGGAAAACATTTTCAAAAACATTTGAAAAACATGATGGAAACTTACAAAAATGCAGCAAATTGCAATCACAAGACTGCAGGCCCCTGCAACCGGTTGTAAATGTGAGTTGATTATTAGGTACCCAAATGCGATCACATGACCCCAAAGAAGGGAGAACACCATGGTCATAACTTTGAGGAGAAGTCGTAAGTAGCTTTTCAAAAGTCCGTCATAACTTTCCATGGTCATTCAATGACCGGTCGAAAGTCAAGCACTCCTGTGTATTGTAGTGTTTGCTTATTCTGACAACCACCAAGGGACGCCCTGGTTGGCCGCACCAGTAGTGGTTTGTTGTGGTCAGCATGAAGGGCCATGCGGAGAACCCTTGTAGTGCGACACCCTTCCTGTGCAAAGATGGGCAGGGAAGCATCTTCTCTGATGGAGGCACTGAGTACTCCCAAACTCAGTTACTCTGGGAAAGATCAGGAGGTCCAAATTCTCAGTCTGAAGGTTGCCTGGAAGGTGACAACTCACCAACTGTGAGCCTTACAGGTCCAGGGGCTCTTCCACTGGGACCGACTGCAGCTGAGTAAGCACTTTTTCATCTGAGTCCAGAGCTTCGGGACCCAGGGGGTCCCCCCCAGCAGCAGCCAGCAAAAGACCCTCACCCTCGGGCAGCCGGAGCTCCTCCATTGACCCCTTCTCCATCTCAAAGAGCCCCTCGGAGTTGTTCCCCTGCAGGTCCATGCTCACCGGGTTGGACCACACGACCTGCGGCTGGGATATGGACAGGGTCTCTGGCTGGGAGAAGCTGGAAAGGAGAGCGCCTTGGCCGGCGTCTGGTCCAAAGGCCACGCTGGCAGCACCGTTGGAGGATGAAAGAGGGGAGACTTCAGACGGCAGCACCGAGGGGACTCCCGCAAGCAACCCACTGTTGCCTTCAGTGGCTCCCAGAACTGCCGGTGTGGCTACTGCCACCTCCTGCTTGATGGGAAGAGTCAAGGTTGAGGCTGGGGGAGCGGAGAGCACGAAGGTCATCAGCATGCTAGCCGGGAAGGTGGCGGTGAGGTTCAGTTTGCCTTGCTGTACAGCCATGCCAGTGACGATGGTGCCATTGCCGGTGGCTGGATTGGCCAGCAGAAGGTTACCTGGAGGAGAAGGACAACAGAGGAGCCACTTTAGACAAGATCTCTAGCATTCTGGCTCCTAATCGCTCAACCCCGGTGTCTGCCTCCTCTCCAGATTCAGGAGATGGCCTTGGGAAGGAAGGACAGAACAGTTGAGGGAGGAGAAACAGTAGCTTGGAGAAAGGGGAACATGCGACAGAGGAATTCACAATAACCCCACCTGGATTTTGTCAGTTATGACCAGAGAAGAATTCTTGAGACGTCCAGAAATGGACCACCACAAAGATTCCAGGAATGTATGTGTGTGTGTGTGTGTATGCACGTGCATACATGCTTACGCAGGTGTTCTTTGGAAACAACCAAGCTGAGAGTGCACCAACCCTGAGCTACAAATATTCTCCTCTATTGGTACGGGGAACCCCCTTCCGATTCTGGACTGTGCACTGTTAGTTTTTCCGGAGAATACCTAGCCTTCCTACAATGTTCGGAGAGTTCCCCACTTATGGCTGGACAAGGCTCAGCCACCTCTGAAGCCGGGGTAGAGAGATACCTTGTGCTGTGCCTGGAAGCTGCAGCGCGGTGACGCCAACACCGGTGTTGAGGAGATGGACGTTGTTCTGCCCGAGGCCGCCGGTGACCCCTGTGCCTTGTGGGGTCCCAGTCACAGGGCCCACCTTGATGGGGGCGGCACTTGTCAGGATCTGGATGGGACTGCCCACGCCCTGTTGTAGAGTCACCACCTGAGAGGTGGGCACCACTTGGGGCAAGGAGATGAGCTGGGAGCCCTGTGCCACCTGAGGAATGGAGACCAGCTGAGGTGCCGGAGCCCCATGGGACATGGTGTAGATCTGGGTGGGAGACACAGGAACCATCTGAGGTGGAGACAGTAGCTGGGCCCCGGGAATGGTCTGGGACAGAGGGACCACCTGGGAAGGGGGCGATACCTGGGTAAGCGGGAGAAGGGATGGGGCAGAAACGTGGAGGACGGTGGCCTGGGCTGTAGAGGACCCAGGGAGAGAGAGGTGGGGGGTGGCAGTGATGGTAGGAGATGCCACCACTGTGGACCCCTGCCCACCACCCACTGGCCCTGTTCCCTGGGAAGTGGCCAGAGCTTGACTGACAGGGACCAGTTTAGCAAGAGGCACAATCTGCGGACTTTGGGGCGCTGCCGGTTGAGGGGCTACGGGCAACAAGGGGATTGTGGGGCTTTCTTCATTGGAAGGGACCACTTGGGGCATGGGCACTGCAGCCAACAGCGCCCCCTTGTGCTCGGAGAGGAGCGGGGAGGTCTCTGGGAGAGACAGGAGGGGAGGGAGAGCTGCCCCCTGCCCATCCTCCGACTTCATTTCCACCCCAAACGCCAGCGGGTCTATGTTCTCCGACTTCACCTCTCCCTGGAGAGCCACTGGGTTGAGGATGAGCGTGGCTGGGGAGAGGGTTTCCAGGGGGACTTTGCCCATCTCCTCCATCTTGGGGGTCCTAGGGCTCCGCAGGCTGGTACAGCCATTGAGGAGGATGGGCGGGCTGGGAGCTGCCACAGGGCTGAGCGTGATGGTTTGGTTGTCTGCTAGGGTCAGCCCGTTGAGGATGACCCCTCCGGTGGGGGTCTGGATCACCGAGCCCCCGTTCAGGAGCATGGCAGGGGGAGAGCTGGCAGTGATGAAGTTCCCGTTCAGAAGGATGGAAGAGGCGCTGGTGCAGGCCCCGGGAAGGAACAGGCTGCCGGGGGCTGCGATTCCCTCATGGCTGGCGGACAGGCCCCCAACGGCTTCGATTTCTTCCGGACCACGGCTGGACTCGTCTTCTGTGCTGGGGTTGCCATCAGATTCACTGCAGGAGAGAAGAGACGGTAAACTCCCTAACACAGGTAGTCCTCAGCTTATAACCGTTTGTTTAATGACTGTTCGAAATTACAAAGGCACTGAAAAAGTGACATATGACAATTCATCACACTTAGAACTGTTGTATCACGCCCTAAGGTTATGTGATCGAAGTTCAGATGCTTGGCAGTTGACTCATATTTATGACGGTTCCAGTGTCCTGGAACCCTTTTGCGACCTTTGACAAGCAAAATCAACGGGGGAGCCAGATTTACTGAACAACCATGTTACTAATTGAATAACTTCAGTGATTCACTTAACAACCGTGGCATGAAAGGTCCTAAAAATGGGGCAAAACTGACTTAACTGTCTTGGTTAGCAACAGAAATTTGGGGCTCAATTGTGGTTGTAAGTCGAAGACCGGCTGAGATGCTGGGGTACAGGCTGCCCCACCAAGACAATCCTTAAGGAGAAACAATCTTCAACCTCTCTGCAGCTCCCCAAATTCCTGCCGCTGCTTAGGACCCCAGCAAAGCGACTTCATTTAGGGATCCCCGTTTCTTTGGTCCAGAACAAGCTACTCACTTTCTTCCTACCATTTTTCTTTAGGAGGTGAAGAGGACCTGCACCAGAGAACTCCATCTCATCCAGCAGTCAACTCCCACCCTTCTCTTTGCCAAGCTCAGAAGAAATTTCTGGGAACTTCTAGAAACTGGGAGATGGTGAGTTCTTGTCCCACTTTAGACAAGGAAGCCAGCTGGGCGACTTTGGGCCAATCACCAGGAGGCTGGGAGTTCTAGTCCTGCCTTAGGCATGACAGCCAGCTAGATGACTTTCTGCTCAGCCCAACCCACCTTACAGGATTGTTGTTGTGGGGGAAATAGGAGGAGGGAGGAGTATTAAATATGTTCGCCGCCTTGAATTATTTAGTAAAAAATAATAAAGGTGGGACATCAACAAATAAACAACAAAAAAAAACCCATGGTGCTCCAATTTCCTTGGATACTAGCTGGCTGGTACAAGGAAACAGTTCTGTTGTTTTGTTGTTGGCTAAAAACAATAACCCCGTATTTCAGCCAACCTGAAAACTGCTGAGATAAGCAGCATATAAATTTAATACACAAACAAATAAACTTAAGCTGCAGGGATCGAAGGAGTAATGCAGATGCAGCATGGGAATTTCAGCCTCCCGTTTTCGATGTGTGAAGTCCAAACCCTGGTTGAATAAACCACCTTTCTACTTTCCTAGAGCAGGGCTCTCTCAACTTGGTAAAATGTGGGCTTCAACTCCCAGAATTTCCCACACAGCATGTCTTCAAGTTTCCACGGTTGGTGGGACACACCTGGCCTAGGAAAATAGATAGTTTTATGGACTGGCTGAGGAATTCTGGGAATTGAAGTCCGCAAGTCTTAAAATGGCCAATCTGGAGACCCCTGTCCTAGAGCATGGCACCCCAAAATGTATGATTGGATGGCTTCCTGTGGGTCCCACCCTCAACCTATCCAACTCACGGCTATGTCTAGCCGGCTTCCTTGGGGCTTCCTCTAGAAAGGTTCTGTGTTTGTAAAGCTTCCCAACCCTTGAGGAAGAGGTGGAGCTCCGTGGACCAGCTCTCTGGAGGAGGAGATGGTTCTGGGTCCCCACCCTTGCCCTGGGAAGGGAGGAGATCAGGAGGAAAAAGGCCCAGCGAAAGAAATTCAACGCCTGGGATTCAGATTTCACAACAAAGGAGAGCTAGGCTTCCACGTTGGGTGAGCGGAAGAGAATGGAGGCAGGACTTCAGCCGGGGGAGAAGCAGGGAAAGAGCTGCAGGAACATCTGGGCGGGAGGCTCCGTCTCACCTCCCTTGAATGGATGCGGTGGGCAGGGAAGTTCTCCCCGTTGAGGTTCTTCTAAACGTGTCCCAAGATCCGGCAGAGATTATCAGCTGCCTAGAGCAGTGCTTCTCCACCTGGGTCCCTTTCGCACGGGTGGGCTTGTGGGAGTTGAGGTCCACCCGTCTGAAAGGGATCCAGGTGGAGAAACAACGGACCTAGACTAGAGAGTTTCCTGGAGGAGGAAGACGGTGGGCTCCTTGGTGCTCTCGGAGCTTGGTGGTTTCCTTGCAGTGACCCAACTAGGTAACATCATCAGGGCTACTAACGCTCATCTCCTGAGCAGTGATGCTGTTACCTAGTTGGGTCACCAAATGTCTGCAAGAAACCCCCCAGCCTCAGACAGTACCAAGGACCCCTCATTTCAACCCTGAGCTACAAATATTCCCTCCTGTTGGTAGGTTCCCCACCTCCTCTGCTTTTTTTTTTGCACATTCAGAAAGAAAGTTCTGCTAACTCCAAAGAAAGTGGAAGCCAGCTCCCACGCTCCTCTCCAGCACCCCAGGAATGGCCCAGGAACCCAAGGAATTGAAATGGGGGTGGGGGAGTCTCCTTTGTTGGAACATGTGCCAGCTCCAGACAGGGTCAAAGCGAGGGAGGGAGGGAGGGAGCTCAGCTATTCCTGCTGGTCCCACTGCCTTTGCGGTTGCTGGAAATTTGCACCTGGCCAGGTTGTAGCCCAGGAGCCATTTTTGAGGGGGGGGAAACCCCCCCAGCAACCCTTTTTGAAAAAACCCCCCCTGCATTTCCCCGATTCCCAGGGTGCCCCCCCCCCGCTGCAAAAATGGGGGGGGGGGGGGGCAGCAGTGAAATCCCCCAGAAGGATCGGGTTTAACTTTCATCCTGGTTCGGGGCTTGCTTGCAGAGTGGGGGGGAGGGGCTGTTTAGGATTCAGACGTGCAGGAGCTGGAGACCCCAACTCTTAGGGCTGCATCCCCCATCCCATTTTGGGGTGGACTCGGCCAGGCTTCGAACCCCGGCCTCCCACTTCCTTCGTAACCCTCCGCATCCAAGGCGTGGGCAAGTGCCCGGATAGCCTGCGCAGGCCCCTGGAGGCTCGACCTTCCAGCGGGCGCGGGCGCGCTCTGCCCATGCCCAGAGGGCCGCCTTCCCCTTACCTCTTGCTGGGCGTGCCTCCTCCTCCTCCAGCCGCGCCGCCGCCGCCTCCTCCTCCTCCTCGGTCGCGCTGCCGCCGGTTCTTGAACCAGTTGCTGACCTGGGTGAGCGAGAGGCCGGTGTCTCGGGCCAGGCGGCGCTTCTGCTCGGGGCTCGGGTAGCGGCTGCGGCCGTAGGAGTCGCGCAGGGCGGCCCGGGAGCGGCGCTTGAAGCAGTAGACCGTCTCCTCGCCGTCCCAGATGGTGGCCGGCAGCGGGAACTTCTTGCGCAGCCGGTACTTGTCGACGGCGCCCAGCGCCCGGCCCCGCGCCGCCTCCGCCTCCCGGTAGCGCGCCCGCAGGTAGAGGTCCTGCAGGAAGGGGTGGTGGGGCGCCCCGAAGGGCCGGCTCTGCACCAGCCGGTACAGCTCGCCGAAGTCGCCCCGCTCGAAGGCCAGCAGCGCCCGCGCCTTGGCCAGGCTCTCGCCCGAGCCCGACGCCTCCAGCCGCGACGCCTCCTCGGCCGGCAGCGAGCCCAGGAAGCGGCCCAGCCGGCCCGGGTCGCCCGCCTGCAGCAGCGCCTCGCACACGCACGAGACCTGCTCGGCCGAGAAGCGCGGCAGGCCGGCGGCCGGAGCAGGAGCAGCCCCAGCGGCAGCAGCCGGAGGAGGAGGAGAAGCTGCTGCTGCTGCTGCGGGAGGAGCCGCGCCGGGCTCCGCGCCGGACGGGGCGGGCGGCGAAGTTGGCAAAAGTTTGCGCGGCTCTGCTCCGCCGCTGCCCGCGGACGGGGCGGGCGGCGGGGCTGCGGGTGGGCCGCGGCCGGGAGGCTCGGCGGGGAAGGAGGCCATGTTAGGGCGCGGGAGTCCGGCCCCCCTCGCCTGCCCTCCTCCCTCCCTCAGGCCCGGTCCCCTCCCCGTCCTGCCCACTCGCGCCCCTAGCCTCCCCCCGCCCGCATTCTCCCCCCCCCCGCCCCGCCGCTGCCCCTCCCGCTCCGCCCGGCCCCCGCCCGCCCCTCCAAGTTCGCTTTCTCCTCCTCCTCCTCCTCGGGGCGGGACTGCTCCTCCTCCTGCGGCCAGGCGCTCTCCCGCTCCGGCAAGGCTGCGCCCAACCTCCACCTCGGTCGGCGTCTCGCGCTTCGCGAAACTCCAAAGCAGCTCCGGACTCGCCCCGATGGGTCCTTGGCAAGCGAAGTTCCTTCCCCGTCCCCACCCTCCAGGACGGGGAAACCTGCTTGGACTGCACTTGTTGGGCCCCTGGGAGACCCTCCCATGCTCCCCCCCCAAAAAATGGGGTGCTCCATCGCTGGAGGTTTGCAAGAAAAGATTGGACAACTATTTGTCGTGGATAGGATGAGGGTTGAGCATGGGGTGGACTAGTAGACCTCCCAGGTCCCTTCCAGCACTAGGATTCAAAGAAAGCCAGGATGAATGGGAGTTTGCCCCATCCTGGACTTCAAATTCCATAAAGCTCAGCCAGGATGGGGGGAAGCTGGGACTAAGAGGGGCTGGCAGGAGAAGCTGCCCTGCTCTGCTCATCATCTGCCCACCAATATACTTATGCCCCATTTGGGGTCCGGTTTCCCAGGCCATGGGTCCCTTGCCCCCTTAAGTGTCTGTGTGGTCAGAAGCTCCCCATCCTGGTTAGTGTTTAACCCTGGTTCAACTTCTCTTACACTAGTGGGTGTCCAACCCTGTCAACTTCTAAGATTTATCAACTTCAACTCCCAAAATTCCCCAGCCAGTTTTGTCCTTGTGGCTTCATCCACAAATCGTAACGTGGCCAAGGTTGAACATCCCTGTCTTAGACAGTCTCACCCACCCACCCACTCTGTGCACTTGGTGGGCACCAGGTTGGGGAAGGTTGCTGTGAAAAGCAGGTCCTTGCTGACTTCCAGGTGTAATTTGGAGAGGCAGCCATGGAGGTTGTTAAAGTTGCAGGACCACAATCTTTCATTCAGAGCCTGTGTTGCCTAATCTGGCCAGGATCCCCCTCCATGGGGCAGCAAGCGCAGAAGGATCAGCCAGGGCAAAGCACCCAGCTGCTGGTGCCACCTGTTGTCAGGAACAGCTGCCTGCCAGAAATTCCCTTTATCACAATTTTACTGTTCTCAGCCTTCCCTTTTTTTATGGTGGCTGCTTGAGAGCTGTTGAGATAATAAAGTTATAAATAAAGTTATAAAGCAATACAATAACACAATAATACTCTACAGCAGTGTTTCTCAACCTTGGTAGCTTGAAGATGGGTGGACTTCAACTCCCAGAATCCCCCAGCCAGCAATGCTGGCTGGGGATTCTGGGAGTTGAAGTCCACCCATCTTCAAGCTACCAAGGTTGAGAAACACTGCTCTACAGGGAGGTGACTTTAGAGCTTGCAGGAAACCCCTGATCAGAGCCTAAAAACACGTCGTGGAACTGTGAGCCTCTAATAGTGAATGAATGTGAATGAAACTCCCACTACCCCTGTGAGTGGAGGGATCAGTATTTATTTATTTATTTAATTATTTAATTATTTATTTATGTATTGGTCGGTCTGTTTTTTCTCTCTTTATCATCTGTCTATATCTATTCACCTACTATCTCTCTATTCTCTCTCTCTCTCTCACCTATCACATCTGTCTCTATCTCTGTGTCTATGTATATTCCTCTGCTCTATCACTCTAGTCACTATTCACTATGTCTATCATCTATCTTATCTACCTACCTACCTATCTACCTATCTATCCATCTTTATCATCTGTCTTTCTATCTATTCCCCCACTATCTCTCTCTCTCTCTATTCTCTCTCTAACTATCACATCTCTATCTCTAGCTATTTATTGGTTCGATTTATATGCCGCCCTTCTCCGGAGTCTCAGGGCGGCTTACAATGTGTTAAGCAATAGCCTTCATACTTTTGTATATACCTGCTTAGTAGGGCTTTTGCCCCCCGCCCCCCAGCAGTGTTCTTTTTTTATACAAAGTCAGCTTATTGCCCCCACAATCCGGGTCCTCATTTTACCTACCTCGAAAGGATGGAAGGCTGAGTCAACCTTGAGCCTGGTGAGATTTGAACTTGCAATAATTGCAGGCAGCTGGTGCTACTTAACAGCACTTTAGTTTGCTGCACCACCAAGGCTCTATGTATATTCATCCGCTCTATCTATTCACTCTATTCATCTATCATTCTGTCATTCTATCGTTCCATCATTCTATCTATGATCTGTTTATCACATTTAGAAACCAAAATGTCACCGATAGCAAATTTTAAACTCTAGATTGCAATGGATGAACCTACATAGGCAAAGCAAAGCTATTGGCTGAGTGTTAAATGAATTGCCCCCACCCCCAAAGAAGCCCTGGCCTGGCTTGAGTTCATCTTCCATGGGGCACACAATTAAACCACCAAGCTAAAACCAGGAAACTGTGAGTCTGACTCCTACCTTGTGCAGGAAGTTAACTGGGGGGACCTTGAGCCAGCCACTCTCTCTTAGCTCTAGAATGGTGGCAATAGCAAACTATGAAGGAACTCTTCCAACAAAAACTGCAGGGACTAATCCAGGCAGTCTCCAGGAATCAAGGCTGATTCGAAGACACAAAACACACACACACACACACACACACCGAGTCCTCTCTCAATTGCCTCCTCTGGCCAATTTTGAGACTTTTCTTTGTCATGGAACCATTTTAGCACATCGGTCTTGTTGCCACCAAATGCGATTCCCATTTTCGTAACGTAGGACTTCTGGTGAATTGTGCTTGTTTTTCTACACCTCATGGCCTTCCTTCCCCGTAAAGCAAAGTTTCCCAATTCTGATAACTTTCAGATGTGTGGACCTCAACTTCCAGAATTCCCCAGTCAGCATGGCTGGCTAGGGAATTCTGGGAGTTGAAGTCCGCAAAGTTGCCCAGGTTGAAAAACTCTGCTTTAAAGAGAGAAAAGCCCTGGCTGTGAGCAAAATCTCTTCCACTACCCTTGTCCCTCATCCCCCTTGCTACCTCAGTCCTCCCACAGTCACACTTTTCCTCGCCTTGCTTGATGAAGACTTGTGAGAAACTTGGAAATCTGCCATTGTTCTATAAATTGGCCTAATTAACCCATGAAGAGAGAGTTCTAGGATCACCTGCCATTCCCAGGCTGGACACCAGGGGATGCTGTGGGCCACGCAAGTTTGTTAATGGAGAATTCTAAGGCTGGTTACTTAGAAACAGGAGGGAAAACAGAGACAAAACTGGTTAATATCTATAGGTAATTCCTGTTTGCAGATAAGAAATTGCAGTGGTATGTTGGACATCCTGGCGTGGGATTAAAAACAGGGCAGGGAGGCCGAATCTGTTTTAAAATCTGGAATCCGGAAGCGCCTTTTCCGACTAACCAATTTCAGTAGAAAGTTTTGTGAATTGCCTTTTGATAAAACCACATTTTATTAAATCTATTTTTTAAAAAATAAAATAAGAAAATGCACGCCCAGATTCCTAACCTTAACCCTGGCACTTTGATCACAGGGAAGCCATTTTGACTTTTCTGACCTCCTAGGACCCCGCTGTTCCTAACTTTGCTCCTGAGGAAACCGAAGAGAAAACCAGCTGTGAAATCTTTGCAATTTGATTTTTGCTGCCTGCAAAGGACAGCCTGGAGGGTCCCTGCTGACAAGAGAGAGTGTGAGGGTCTCTAACCCAAGGCCCCAAACGTTCATCAGGGCAGGAGGATGAAAAGGAGAGGCTGAGAACCCTTGCAAACCATTCCCAGCCAGCTCCCCTGCCCCCAAATGCTGGCTGCTCCATGGTTCCATTTAGGCTGCAGGAATGTTTCTGTTCTAAACTTAGCTTAGTGGAGCCTGGCCAGAAACAGCTCGCAAGGAGGGTGGGTGTGGGTGGGATGCTTTCCAACGAGCTGACCGGGGGCCCCTATCACAGCAAGGAGGGGGGGACTCAAGCAGAAATAAACCCCCTCCTCAAATGTCCTCACAGCCTGGATGGATGGGAGAGAGAATCCCCCCCCCCCTCCCCACAATCCTCTTCCCTGTTTACCTCCTTATCGCTCCTGTGAACATAAATGGATATTTATGAGTTTTGCACCGAAGGCTTCTGTCTGTCCGTTTTGCAAATGAAAATTCTGGTCTTTCCAGGCTGCTCCAACCATCTCATCCCCATTCTAGCCCGTTTGCTGACTTCACCTACCCTAAGGCAAGGGGTACTTTTCTCCATAGGGTGAAAGAAGGAAGTCATTGGTTGAAAAGGCCCTGGTCGGATCAAGTCAGAGACCATCAATGTGTGAATGAGTTATGCCAGCAAGGAAGGGTTTCCACGTGATCTGTTGGAAGGCCGGTCCTTCAGGAGCCTAGTGAGTGCGGGGAGCAAGCAGGAGTGGCCTTTTAATTAAGGTGGTGTCAATCAATCAGAATAGAGCTGGAAGGGATATGAAGGTCTAGTCCAACCCCTGCCTCAAGCAGGAGACCTTCTACCACTTCAGATAAGTAGCTGTCCAATCTTTTCTTAAAAACCTCCAGTGATGGAGCACCCACAACTTCTGGAGGCAAGTAGTTCCACTGGTCAATGGTCCTCACTGTTGGGAAGTTTCTCCTTAGTTCTAGGTTGCTTCTCTCCTTGTTGAGTTTCACCCATTGCTTCTCGTCCTGCTTTCTGGTGCTTTGGAGAATAGGTTGAACACCCCCCCCCCTTCTCTGTGCCAAGCCTCTCTCTTCCATAACTGGAAGACAGTTATATCACCCCTCGTCTGTCTTCATCAGAGAGCTGAGCAGCGCCTCAGGAGCAAACAATGTTCCAGACCCCCTAAGTCGACAGCATAACTGTGATTTGCTGGAGGGGCTTTTAAACCCCCTGCCAGAAGCTGCAGGACTCATAATAAACCTGACAGGGCCGGGATGTGTTTAGACCCCAGGCAGGGAAGGGTTAAAAGGAGGAGAGGAGCCTCTTGGCCTGAGACCTTTAAATGGGCACCCTTGCCTGTTTGCTCCTGCGCAGGCCTTGGCACCAGATGGCAAGCCAGGCTGGATTGGGCAGGAGGGTGCAGGAGGGCGAGGTGTGGCTTCCCAGGGTCAGGGGGTGGGGTGGGGCTGAGCCCGAGAGGGAACCCAGGAGGGGGGCAGAAAGAGGGCTGGTGCTTTTCTCTCCCCCCCTGCAGAGGGGGCCTGGGGGGGAGACGTTTTGGGTGCTTGGAACTCAGCAGAGGAGCCAGGGAAGGCCAGCCACAGGGTGTGCCAAGCACAGGCAGCCAGCGACGGACGGACGGACGGGGTGTGGGGAGGGAGCATGCAAGACCCGGAGAAGGAGCCTATTTTGGCTTGAAAGGCAGCACACTTGGGACACTGGGAAAGGCGTGGAAAGCTGGCGTGTTGTGTGTTTGTGTGCTCCGGGAGGGAAGAAGAACCTCATCGCCTTCCACTCTGGGTGGCCACAAGGCAGGCAGGAGAGCCAGCCGGGGGGGGGGGGGGGGGGGGGTGTGTGGGTTGTGTGGGGGGGGGGGGGAAGACCCTGTGTGTGCACCAGGGAGGGAGGAAAGGCTAAAGCTGGAGTGTGCAAGAAAGAGAAATCTGTGCGTGCAACAGGAGTTGTGAAGAAACTGTCCAGCCCTCCTTTGGTGGGACACTGAGCATTTCCGTGCCGGACATCCCTTCCAAGAAACAGGTGAATTAAAGAACTCGTGTGGCCACCCAGGAAGGAGATGGTCAGCCGGGAGGGTGCCCACTCGACGTAGCCCCTTCCGCCGCTGCAGCCACCCCTCCTCCAGGCTGCAGCCAGAGACCTTGCGGACAGGGTACCCAGCCTGGAGTGAGCCCACCTGGGGTGTCCCCAGCGTCCAGCCAAGCTGGCCCCATGGCAGCAGAGGTCCGACTGAAGAAACTGGAGGAGCTGGTGCTTGACCGCAACGCGGTGGGCTTGGAGACGTTGGTGGACCTCCTGTTCTGCGTGCATCATGAGCTGAGCACTTCGCCCCTGGCCCAGGAGAAATACATCACGGAGTTCCTGCAGTGGGGTGAGTCCCGTTGGCAGCTGTTATGGGGGGCCGGAGAGAACTTGATGGTTGATGTGCTGCCCCAAAGGGGGCAGTGAGAAGACGGGGTGGGGGGTGCGCTACAGATTTCCAGGGAGTTTGTGGCTTTGGGGCATAGCTGCCCAGAGTTGCTTTGCAAATGAGATGGGTGGCATACCTATTTTGGTCTAGGAGTGAAGGCACCAAGCTAGAAACTGGGGGACGATGAGTTCTAGTCCCTTCATAGACCTGAAAGTCAGTTGGGTGACTTTGGGCCAATCGCTAGGAGATAGAGAGTTCTAGCAGTTCCTTAGGTATGAAAGGCAGCTGGGTGAGTTTGGGCCAGTTACCAGGTGATGGTGAATTCTAGTCCTGTTTTGGGATTATGAAAGCTGGCTGGGTGAGTTTGGGCCGGTCCTTCCCTCTCAGCCCAACCCACCTCACAAGGTGGTGGTTGTGGGGAAAAACAGGAGGAGGAAGCAGCATTGTGTGTGTTGGTTGCCTTGAGTTATTTATAAATCAATACAAAGTAAACACCCACCCACACCCAGTGAATAAATAACACACCTTCAATTCTATTTTGCCACTTCCTTAGCTTTGGGTTAGTCTGAAACTTGAAAAAAGATTCATTTGTAATTGGCATGCTTTGTGGGGTTGAAAGCGATGCCTACCACCCTTTCATAAATCAGGCCGTGACTAACTCTGGGTTGTGGGTCACACTTCTGGGGATTTGTTCCCGAGAAAAGTCTAAAGTGACAGAGAGGAATGGATACCATTAACTTGTTCTTCGATATTCACCATTTAGTTGATGAGTTGTGTTTATTATTGAGATCATCCGGGGACCTGGAAGCCAGGATTTGTGGCTGTGGGGTTGAAGTTACTTTTGAATGAGCACTTCCTTATTTCCCTCTGACTGGAGGCAGGACCAAACTTTGCATCTCTTCACACGACATTGTTTCTCCCTCATCTTTTAAGTGTGGTCTCCTTCGAGGAAGGGGAGTGGGATTGAATAGAGAGGAGACTGCCTGGTTTCTCGAATAAGGACCGACTCCTGCCTTGGACAGGAGATTGGATTCTTAAGGAATCCATGATTCTTTGTGGTTTACTCATGAGAAAGTAAGGGTTTGTTTTTTTTTTGCAAGAGCAACTAAGAAGATTAAAGGCCTGGAGACAAAAACACACGAAGAACGGTTGCAGGAACCGGGTATGTCTAGTCTAGAGAAAAGAAGAATTAGGGGTGACATGATAGCAGTCGTCCAATATTTGAGAGGCTGCCACAAAGATAAGGGGGACGATTTATTTTCCAAAGCACCAGAAGGCAGGACAAGAAACAATGGATGGAAACTAATCAAGGAGAAAGGAGAAACTTCCTAACAGTGAAAGCAATTAACCAGCGGAACAGCTTGCCACCAGAAGTTGTGGGTGCTCCATCACTGGAGGTTTTTAAGGAGAGACTGGGCAGCCACTTGTCTGGAACCGTATAGGATCTCCTGCTTGAACAGGGGGCTGGACTAGAAGACCTCCAAGGTTCCTTCCAGCTCAATTCTGATTGATTGAGGATCTGAGTGTTATCAGGACTTGCTTGCTCCGGCCTTGGTGAAGACCAGAGTGTCCAACCTTGACACTATGAAGAGACCTGTGGGCTTCGACTCCCAGAATGCTGGCTGGGGAATTCTAGGAATCGAAGTCCACAAGTCTTCAAGGGGGCAAGGTTGGGCATCCCTGATGAAGACCAAGATCACTTCCATTTTTATCATCCTTGATCCTGGGCGAGGCGTGATCTGGGAGATCGGTGGGGCAGGGCAGAGCAGAGCGTGGGGCTTCTGGGGCTCCTGTGAGGAGTTTCTCGGCTGCTGTGACTTTGGAAAATGCCATAAAAGGCCTCCTGCGTAGGACAGGCTGGGCCCTTTTCTCGCTCTCTTCTCCGTTGCTCCTCCACGGTGCTCTTTATTCCCGGGAAGAAATTGCTCGGTTTTCCTTGCAGAAGTGGCCCTGCAGGGAATGGGGCAGGCCTGCCAAGGGATGGGGTGAAGTGGGGCAGGGAGAGGTTTTCAAAGCAAGGCTGTGAAGGGCAGGAGATGGCCTGGATTTGGCCATTAACCGTTTGCAGCTTCCTCCAGGGCTGACAGTTAGGATGTTCAGACAAAGAGAACAGGCTTCAGATGTCCTTAACCTGAGAGGAAATAGGGGTACTCCACCCATTTATGGCCACAAACGGACCCAGAATTTCACTGCTAAGCAAGTTAAGTCAGTTGTGCCCGATGTTGTGAGCGTTTTTTGGCCAGGGTTCTTAAGCGAAACGTAGCCGTGGTTAAGCGAATCGTACGGTCGTTAAATGAATCTGCTTCTGCCGTTGAGTTTTCTGGGCAAAAGCCAGCGAGAAGGTTGCAAATGACTCTGAAAGACAGCAACTCTCGTGAATGCGCCCCATGGGGATGCTGCGATCGTTATAAGTGCGAGGAACGGTCGTAAGTCACTTTCCCCTTTGCTGTTGTAACTTTGGATGGTCACTAAACAAATGTACCGTATGTCTGTCCAAGCTTCAAAGGAAAGGTCAAAGGTCCTCTCCTCTGTTTGGTGAGGTACAGGGACACTGCAAAGATTTCCTGAAGTACAGCTAGTCCTCAACTTACAACAGTTCATTTAGTGACTGTTCAAAGTTACAACCGGATTGGGGGAAAAAATGACTGATGAGCATTGTAGCATCCACCAGGGTCACGTGACCAAGATTCAAATGCTTGGCAACTGACTCCTCTTTATGACGGTCACAGTGTCCCCTTTTGCAACCTCCGGGCAAGCCGAGTCAATGGGGAAGCCAGCTTCACTTCACACAGTCATGTTACTAATTGAACCACTGCAGCAATTCACTTAACAACTGTGGTGAGAAAGGTCATAAGATGGGACAAAACTCACTTAATAAGTGTTTCCCTTAACAACAGACAATGTTGGGCTCCGTTGCGGTTGTAAATCGAGGACTACCCGTATGTGTGGAATTTCACCCTCAGCTTCAGGCCTCACCTGGGGACTGCAGGTGCACCATGGTGAGAAGCACTCTGCACATGCTCCGAAGCCCTTTGCTCTTGATAGGGACTGCAAAAATCACTTTTTTTGAGACCAAACCTGACTGAATCCGGATAAAAGCTGCACCTTTGGACTTTTGACAGTGTGTTTACTGCATAAAAGTTTCCATGGGCAGGAATGCTCCACGCCCCCATCCCGCCCACCCCCCCTTGCGCCCCCCACCCCCCCAGCCGTGAGCAGCCAGTCTCCCAGGGCCCAGCTGGAATCTGAGAATTGTTGCAAGCCCAGATTCCCAACCCGGCCGGTGCCCGAAATAGGCACCCAATGGCGCAGCTTCTTTCCCTGTGTCTGGCAAGCCTTTTGGCTCGGCTGGGGAGGGAGGCTGACCCCCCACCCCCACCCCCGACCCTGCTCTTGGCTGGAGGGTTGTGTATCTGTTGGAAGAGGCCAAAAATAATCCCGGGTCTCGAGGAACCCAAGATACCTTCTGGCCTTGGCTCCTTGCAAGAACTGAGCGTCTCTGCAGGTAACTGCAATCAGGCAGGCAGGCGGAAATGGATGGATGAGAGAGAGAGAGAGTGGATGGATGGATGGATAGATGGTAGGTAGATAAAATAGGTGAGAGATGGATAGATAGATGAAAGATGGATGGATGAATGAATGAATGAATGAATAGATAGATGGGAGAGTGGATGGATGGATGGATGGATAGATAGATAGATAGATAGATAGATAGATAGATAGATAGATAGATAGACAGACAGATAGACAGATAGACAGATAGACAGATAGATGAGAGAGTGGATGGATGGTAGATAAGATAGACAGACAGACAGATGGGATTTGCAAAGCCAGTCTGAGAAGCACCAGATAAACTGGGTTACTCCGTATTTTCAAAATTCTGCAAATAACGCTTTTAAAGTGCTTGAACTCTACGGCTACTGAGGTTGACTCCAAATGGATCTAGGCTGTACAACAGCATTTGTTCTCTGATAGCGCCTAGAACTATAGTATTTGTGTGCCTTATAATAATTAATACCAATTATTTATTAGGGGGCTCATTGCATAAATTCTTCCTGAAAATTACGCCCAATTGCCCAATGTGGCTGTGTCGGAAATCTAAGAAATATGAGAATGGAAAAAAAAAAGCTGCTTGTTTCCCTTCTGCCCTTGGAATTTGGTCCTATTTCGGTCCTTTCTTGGCCGGTGCCAAGCATCAGCTGCTGCCAGCCAGCCGTTTTTTCTCTTCCCCTCGGAGAAGGAAGCAGGAAGGGGCTTCTTAGCAGGTCTGCCTCCAGTTCTCAGCTGCCGCTGGGAGATTCTTGGGGAAGGAGGCTCCTTGCAGGCCTTCTGTCCAAATTTGTCCCTTCATTTTTTAATGCCCCTCCTTTTTAAAAATAATAATAATAATGAGTTGGCCTAAGGTAACAAGATAATTCTCTGCCTGGAGAATTTACTCATTTATTAAGAACAGATTTCCTTATACCACCTGTATGTATCCCCCGATTCGGAGTGGTATATAAAAACACAAGAACACTCCATCCCTCCCTCTGTTCTTGTGTTCCTTCCTTCCTTCCTTCCTTCCTTCCTTCCTTCCTTCCTTCCTTCCTTCCTTCCTTCCTTCCTTCCTTCCCTCCCTCCCTTTCTTTCTTTTCTTTCCTTCCTTCCTTTCATCCCTCCCTTCCCTCTCTTCCTTCTCACCTCCCTCCCTCCCTTCTCCTTGCAAAGATGCAGTCCAATTGATGGACCCAGCATTCTGCAACTAGCCAGCACAACTTTGCTGCCCCAGGGACGCCAATGCCACCTAGACAAGGGGACTTTCTTCAGAGTCACCCCGGCTTCAGAATGAGCCAGAGGTGGGCTGGATGGAGGGTGGTCAGTGCTTTTGCTGGGCTGCCTCAGTCAGGCCCTCCTCCTGCAGCCTTTGAGGACCCTTGCCCAAGGTGCCGACTGGGGATGATGAGTCTGGTCTCCTCCTTCCCATCCATGGCGCCAGTCGGGGACTTTTCCTCCTCCACCGTCTTGTGCTGTTTGCGTGGCCTCTGGGCGCCCCGTTCCCTTCCCCAAATGCATCCCATTCCAGCTGCCTTGATCACATCCTGCAGCTATTTTTACGCCGCTGCTTTGCCAGCCGGTTTAGCTGTTCTCCTGCCAACCCCCCCCGCCCCCCCGCCCCTGCTCCTCCTGGATCTCTTTGCTTGATCTTTGGGTTGCCATGTGAGGAAGTTGTCTGAGATCCTGGAAGATGTTATTCCTCTTCTCCGCTGCCAAATCTGGATATCTGGGCAGGCCGGCAGCTGAGTCACCCGGGGAGGTTAAATCTGATGGCCACCTGACCTCTTCCTTGTTGCAGGTCACGTGGATTCTTACCCCCCACTCTGCTTAATTTTTTCCACCCACACATTTATTTTTAAGGCGTGCAGCTCAGTCCTTGTGGCTGGCTGAGTCACAGGTCCAGGATGGTCGTGGCAGGATGCCGATCCTCTGTGTGGCTATTAATATTTGTGGACGAGAACTTGGCTATAGCCAGGAGGGGCAGGGGGGCTTAAAGGGCCAGGCCACTGCAAGCAAGGAAAAATTATTGATTGGTTGATTAAATGTATACGCCACCCATTCCACTGACAAATGACTCCTGCATTTTCGCTGAGCCCAAATCACCATCAATGTTTGTTTGTTTGTTTATATACCACCTTTACAAATAATTCAAGGCAGCAAACATATCCAGCACACCTTCCTCCTATTTTCCCCACAACAACAACTCTGTGAGGGGGGTTGGGCTGAGAGAGAGGGACTGGCAGGAAGCCACCCAGCTTTCATACATTTCATAAATGTATGAAAGGGAGTAGAACTCACCATCTCCTGGTGATTGGCCCAAAGTCTCCCAGCTGGCTTTCATGCCCTGATCCTAAAGCAGGACCAGAACATAGTGAGAGGGTGTCTCCCATCTCCTCCTTTAAGCTCTGCAGTTCAGGGTTCCTGAATATTTAATTTAATTAACCCGAAGTGGGGATTAAATGAGAAACCCCAATAATGTCCTTCTGCTTCTCCTTTTCTCCAGCGGAGCCGGTCACTTCCAGACTAAAACAGCTCCGTCTGCAGCGAGATGACTTTGAGATCCTAAAAGTGATCGGCCGAGGAGCTTTGAGCGAGGTGAGGAAGAAAGACGGGCCATACTAGAGGGTAGCTTTGGAGACCCCCAAAGCGATGTCCTTGCTGGCAAAAACCAGCATTTGGGGATGGCTCTGTCATAGCAAAAGTGACCACTTCAGGTGGATGGAACAGTATGGAATGAAACTGCCTTTATATTTTAGGAATTTTTTCCAAAGATTTTAGACAAATATGGGGTGATGGGAAGGAGGTTTAGGAAGGATGCACTTAGTCCGTCGTAATGGGTTGAAGGAATAACCTTGAGGAACAGAAGAAGATCCATAACTACGACAAGAGATAAAAGTCCCAGGGCAGAAAAGTAATCTGAGAAAGCATCTCAGAGTTGACCTTCCCTAGTTCTCATGAACATAAAGGGAAGGAGGGGAGATGCGCATTCAGACCGGCAAGATTGATGCCAGCCTTCCGAGGCAGACCAAATTTGGAAGCCAACAATGCATAAGCTAATACAGGTGTCAGACTTGCCACAAACCTCTAAAATAGAAACAATCCTTGGCTCCATTTGTTGAGAAATGTGCTGTAGTTTTATTAGCGATCAAGCATATAGCAGTATAGCAAAGCTAGAATTGAGAATCACGCGCCAAAATCCCCAAGTTCTACTCCCCCCACCCCCTTAACTATCTCTCACTGCCCAGCCCAGCATCACCAATCAGGTTCAGGCAAGATGTTTTCCTAACGGACAGTCCAAGTGTAGTTTGTTATGCGGTTCCCTCCTTCTTCTAGCTGGGTGACCTTGAGGCAGCTTCTTGAGGAGACGCAGCGTTTACTTTCGCTTCCCCAAGCATTCCCCTCCTTTCATCCCCAGAGTTCATGGCAGTCTGTCTCCACATAGCAGCGAAGCCCAAGCGAGCGAAAGGTGGCAGCTGACAACAGGACTTTTATCGTTCAGTTTATCTCGCATGTGTCTCCCTTGACTGTTTTACCTGCGCAGGTGGCGGTGGTGAAGCAGAAGAGGACCTCCCAGGTGTATGCCATGAAAATAATGAACAAATGGGACATGTTGAAACGGGGAGAGGTAAGACATCTGCCAAGCCATCATGGCTACCTAGGCAGGATTTCCATCAGTGCTGGGTCTGTTCCAGGTTTGCATAAGTCCCTTCAGCCAGATTCCTTTATCATTTTGCCACTCAAGAAACCCAAGAAAAATTGCCTTGGATTTTTTTTTCCAGCGCAGATTTTCTTAAGACATGCTGTTTGGCGTCCCAAACAGCAAAGCTGGCTGAGGAATTCTGGGAGTTGAAGTCCACAAGTCTTAACATTGGCAAGATTGGAGACCCCCGAACTAGGGAACTGTAGATAGAGCCTCATCCACTCGTGCCCGTCACATTACGAAGCAGAAGGTCTGCCCAGGGATCTCCGTCTCTCTTTGAAATCTCAACTCTGCTCCTCCAGGTTTCCTGCTTCAGGGAGGAGAGGGACGTCCTGGTGAACGGAGACAAGCGTTGGATCACGCAGCTGCATTTTGCCTTCCAGGATGAGAATTACCTGGTGAGCCCCACCGTAGCTGATGGGAGCACCGTTGATTTAGCATTTATGGGGCTGTGGCTGACTTTGATTTATTTAGACCTCCGAGTCGCCTTGTAGAGGAGATGGGTGGTATGAAAATTTTAAATATTATAATACTACCCTGTACTATATATGTATACTATATGCTAACTACATAGTATATAGCATAGCATATAGCATGGGGACCCGGTGGCTCAGTGGCTAAGATGCTAAGCTTGTCGATCGAAAGGTTGGCAGTTCAGCGGTTCGAATCCCTAGTGCCACGTCATGGGGTGAGCTCCCATTGGTTATCCCAGCTTCTGCCAACCTAGCAGTTCGAAAACTGGTAAAAAATGCAAGTAGAAAAATAGGGACCACCTTTGGTGGGAAGGTAACAGTGCTCCGTGTGCCTTTGGCGCTGAGTCATGCTGGCCACATGACCACGGAGACATCTTCGGACAGCGCTGGCTCTTCAGCTTTGCAACGGAGATGAACACCGCCCTCTAGAGTTGGGAGCACATATATGTGAGGGGAACCTTTATCTTTATAGTATATAGCACATAGTATATAGTGCATAGCATAGCATAGCATACAATATAGTATAGAGCAGGGGTGTCAAACTCGAGGCCGGGGGTTGGATCCGTCTTGTGGGGTGCTTAGATCTGGCCTGCGGGGCCGCCCTGGAAACAGCGAAGGACTGGCCAGTGGTTCCTCTACCAGCAAAAACAGACCTTGGGAGGGCCGAGCTCCATTTTCACTGGCAGAGGGTCCACCCTGCCCCCTTGAGGTCAAACACAACCCTGATGTGGCCCTCAAAGAAATTTGAGTTTGATACCCCTGGCATAGAGTATATACCCAGAATATGCTATGTCCTATAACCTACCCTACCCTACAGTATACTTACTATATTATACCATCCTAGAGTTGAGTCTGTGCTGTGATGGAGATGTCAATCAACTTGCCTAAGAACGGGATGGTCCCTCTTCCTTAGTTCTCCTCCTTCTGCCTTTCTCCAGTACCTGGTGATGGACTACTATGTTGGGGGTGACCTCCTGACCCTGCTGAGCAAATTTGGTGACCGCATCCCGCTGGAGATGGCCCGGTTCTACTTGGCTGAGATGGTGATGGCCATCGACTCCATCCACAGCATGGGCTACGTGCACAGGTACACAGGCTGGGGGCGGGGGGGTCTGAGGAAGCAGAGGCTGCTCCGTGAGACGTTTGCAATCTCCGGAACATCCTTCTCCTCATGCACAGGTAATCCTCCATTTACAACCGTTGCTTTAGTGACCGTTGAAAGTTACAGCGGCCCTGAGAAAAGGGACTTAGGGCCAGTTTTCACATGACCATTGCAGCATCCTGATAGTCAGGTGATGAAAATTCAGACGCTCGGTGACTGGCTCATATTTATGACGGTCGCAGTGTCCTGGGGTCACATGATCCCCCTTTGAGAACTTCTGACAGGCAAAGATTCACTTAATAACTTTGTCACTAACTTAACAACTGCAGGGAGTCACTTGACAATGGAGGGAAGAAAGGGCATAAAATGAGGGAAAACTCTCTTAACAAATGCCTTGCTTAGTAACATAAATTTTGGGCCGTAAATCGAGGATTACCTGTATCTCCTGAGTTCACTTGTGGTGGTTCTGTCCATCCTCCTTGCCAATCGTCTCCGCTCTCCGCCTGTCAGGGACATCAAACCCGACAACATCCTTCTCGATCGGTGTGGGCACATCCGGCTGGCGGATTTCGGATCCTGTCTCAAGCTTCGAGAAGACGGGACGGTGAGGCTTCCAACCGAGTAGGGCGGGCAACTCTAAGAGCGTGAATTTTATGAGGAAAATAACCATCATGGCTTAATGATGGCCAAGGGGGCTGGCTTTGACCCAAATATCTTTCTGATTTCCTATCAAAGCTACACACAAACTAGGATTGTCAATGGAGGGTCTGTGCTTCAAGGCAGTCTGGCAGGGACAGCTGAGGGGGATCCCTCCTCTGCCCCCCTGCTTGTGGGCTTTCCAAAGCCCCCCCCAACCCCACCTGGGCCATATCAGAAACTGGATGGGGCAGTTTGGACGCCGGTTCCGAGGTTCTCACCCCCATTCTCACGGTGGCAGGTCTGTTCCACAGTGGCAGTGGGCACCCCAGATTACCTCTCCCCGGAGATCTTGCGAGCAGTGGAAGATGGGCTTCATTCCTACGGCACAGAATGCGACTGGTGGTCTCTGGGCATTTTTGCCTACGAGATGTTCTTTGGGCACACCCCCTTCTTTGCCGACTCCGTTGTGGAGACCTACGGCAAGATTCTGCACTTCAAGGTTGGTGGCCGGAGGGATTGGGAGGGGTGGGTTAACGTGCCCCATTGCTGGACCGAGAGGTGAAGTGGTTGAAGGTATCCTGTTCTACTGTCAGAGGAGAATCTTTGTAGGGTCGAACTGTGGGGTCCTTGGTGATCTCTGAGCTAGATGGCTTTCCTGCAGACGTTTCATTACCTAGCTAAGTAACATCATCAGTGCTAAAGGGGAATGGGGTTTGTGGAGAAGAGGAGGAGGAGAAATGAGGGGTCTTTGGTGTTCTCGGAGCTGGGTGGTGTCCTCGCAGACATTTCGTGACCCAACTACGTAACATCATCAGTGCTACAAAAGGAGGGGGGTTTGTGGAGGAGGAGGACTGTGGGATTCTTGGTGCTCTCTGAACTTGCTGGGTTTCTTGCAGACGTCTCATGACCAAACTAGCTAACGTCATCAGTGCAATACCCCATACCCTTTCGCTTACTTGTTGCTTCCTCCTTTTGTCCCAACGTTCATTTTTCCAAGGAGCATTTCCGCTTCCCCGTCTCGGCCCCAGAGATCCCCCCGGAAGCCCAGGCTTTAATCGAAGGGCTGATCTGTCCTCGGGAGACACGCCTGGGACGCCACGGAGTTCAGGACTTCAAGGAGCACCCGTTCTTCGTCGGCATCGACTGGCAGGGCCTGCGGGACTGCAGCCCGTCCTTCGTGCCCGAGTTTGCCAACGCCACCGACACTTGCAACTTTGACGTGGTGGACGACTGTCTCACCGACATGGTGAGAGGGGGAGGGGTACGTGACCTCTTATTTTTCTCCCCTTTTCCTTCCTCTCCGCTGCACCCGGGGCTGTCCTATTCGTTCCTGGGTGGGCTGAGTTTTACAGGTAGTCCTCGACTTACGACCGTTCATTTAGTGACCATTCAAAGTTACCACGGCACTGAAAAACGTGACTTAGGACCGTTTCTCACACAACCGTCGTTGCAGCCTCCCCTCGGTCACACGTGATCAAGATTCAGACAGCGGACAACTGACTCATATTTATGACGGTTGCGGTGTCCCGGGGTCATGTGATCCCCTTTCGTGACCTCCTGATAAGCAGAGTCAAAGGGGAAGCTGGATTCACTTAACAACCGTGTGACCGTAAAACGCAGGGATTTACTTAACAATGGTTGGCAAGAAAGGGTTGCAAAATGGGGCGAAACTCACTTCACTGCTGTCTTGGTTAGCAATAGAAATTTGGGGCTGGATTGCGGGTCGTGAGTTGAGGACTACCTGTAACAGAGGTGGAAGGGACCTTGGAGGGCTTCTAGACCAACCCCTTGCTCGAGCAAGAGACCCTAGACCAGGGATGTCCAACCTTTGAACTTTAAGACTTGTGGACTTCAACTCCCAGAATTCCAGAGTTCCCAAGTTGGACACTTTTCTCTTACACCATTTCAGAAAAACGGTGTAAGATTTTTCAAGAATCTCTTGTCCCAAAATGTTTAATCTCTGGGCCAAAAAGTTTAATTTGATTTTATCGGGTTTTTAAATTTTGTGTATTTATGTATTTTATTGTTGGCTGTTCACCGCCCTGAGTCCTTCGGGAGTAGGGCGGTATACAAATCAAATCAAATCAAATAAAAATAAATAATAAATAAAAAAAAAAGAATGTTAAGCAAGCATGATGGTTTCAACAGCTTGATATCTAGAAAAAACCTTTCCCCCTCCCTAAAAAGAAGACCCTCCCCCAACGTCTTATATCAGGGAAGCTGCCTTCCGTTCTGCTTCTCTCTGCTAACAGCTGAGCTCTGACTGCTCTGCTCTGACTGGAAACGTCCCTCCCTCCCTCCCTCTCTTTTCCAGGAGACCCTGTGGGACGTCATCGAGACCTCTCCCCTCGGAGTGCAGCTGCCCTTCGTGGGGTACTCCTACACTTACACGGCTGAGAAGTAAGAAGCGTTTTTGGCACCCTTTTGTACTTTGCAAAGGCTGTGTAAGTTTCCACTCAAAGGCTAGGCTGGAACTTGCAACCTGAAGGTTTCTTTCTGGTGTCGATTTCCACAATAGTTCTGGATCCAAAGATTGTTCTCAGCAGGTTCTTCACCCGGAGAACTGATCCTTGCATCCTTGTTTCTCAATCTCAGCATCTTTAAGATGGGTGGACTTCAACTCCCAGAATTCCCCAGCTTTATGGCATTGGGGGAGGGGGTGGCAAATCCTCCCCTCCATCTGCTTTCCAGGGAAACTCGGAAGGGTTTTGGTCCCAAGAGCTGGGCCAGGAGTTTAAACAGGTCCAGTATGGTTGGTGGGTTGGGTCTGGCATACGGCACCTCTGCTATTGTGTGATGGATATTTTAATTTGATTTTTTTTCCTAGAGGTTTGATGACAATTGTTTTCTTAGTTGTTGTGGTTAGCCATCTGGAGTTACGTAGTATGACAAGCAGCCACGGATCTATTCTCCATGAATAAATAAATAAAATAAACCCAGCCATGGAGAGGCAAAAAGGGCCAGCTGGAGATACAGGGAGTCCTCGACTTACGACCACAATTGTGCCTAAAATTTCCATTCTTAAGCGAGACAGATGTTAAGTAAATTTTGCCTCCTTTTATAGCCTTACTTGGCACAGTTGTTCAGTGAACCACTGCAGCTGTTAAGTCAGTCATACGGTCGTTAAGCGAATCCGGCTTCTCTGTTAACTTTGCTGGTCAGGTTGTTGCAAAAGGGGATCACGTGACCCCGGGACACTGCAACCGTCATAAATACATGCCAGTTGCCAACCGTCTGAATTTTGATCACATGACCACAGGGATTCTGCAACCATTATAAATTGAAGAACAGTTGTCCCTTTTTTCAGTGCTGTTATAACTCCGAACGGTCACTGCAGGGGTGGTTGTAAGTTGAGGACTACCTGTACAGATGCCGTGGGTTGAGAATCTCCCTTTCTCTCAGACAGAAAGACCCCAAGGAAAGAGACCCCGGTCCCATCGCCATGGATGTGGACCCTGCTGGGAAGAGGCCGTCGGAAGAAGCCCAGGAAAGGCCTCCAGAGGAGCTGGTAGGTAGACAAAGGGGAATTCTCTATCACGCCTCAAGGCAGGTAGCATGGCGGCCATCGCTTATTTATTATTTGAGAGAAGGGGGCAAATAAATCAGTGAAATAAATTTAAAACTTTCAAAAAAGAAAATTAAGAGGCACTTCAAAGACCTGTGTGGAAAAATAAAATAGGGAAGAGGAGAAAAGAGGGGAGGGGAGAAGAGGGAGAAAAGAGCAGAGAAAAAAGGAGAGAAGGAGAGAAAAGGAGAGAAGAAAAGAGAGAAAAGGAGAAAAGAGGAGAAAAAAGAAGAAAGGAGAAAAGGAAAGAGGGGAGCGGAGAAGGGACAAGAGAAAAGAGGAGAGGAGAAAAGAAGAGAAAAGAGAAGAAGAGGAGAAGAGAAAAGAGGAGAGGAGAAGAGAAGAGAAAGGGAGAAATTAAAAAGGAGAGAAGAAAAAAGGAAGAGAATGGGAAGAGAAGGGAATAAAAGAGGACAAGAGGAAAGAAGAGAAGAAAGGAGAAGAGGGGAGAAAAGGAGAAAAGAAGAGAAAAGAGAAGAGGAGAGGAGAAAAGAGAGAAAAGGACAAGAGGAAAGAAGAGAAGAAGAAGGGAGAAAGGGAAAAGTGGAGAGAAGAGAAGATTGCCTAACACTTCAATGCAGTGCTGGGTTTTAGTCGCGTGATCTGGAGGTGCAGTGGAAGCCATAAAAGGTGGGGGGAGGCTCCATTCTGTGTTACACAACCACCGCTTGTGTTTCCCGCTAGGCCTGTAAGCTGCCCGATGGGCAGAAGCTGGACCAGTCCATGTTTCTCGAACTGCAGGCAGCCTTCGAGGAGGAACTGAAGAGCCGGGAGATGTTGTGTCAAGAGCTCAGCATGGTCAAGGTAGCCAACCAGACATTTGCCAGGTGAGTTGAAGAGGCGGGGAGCTCCGTGGTCCCAAAGAGCCGAGCTTTCACGGTGCCTGGCCCTTGCCTTGACTTCTCCATTATCCCCTCTGGACAATCCCTTTGGGGGGAGGAAGCATCACGGAGGGGTCCAGGGGAGACTTCATGCTGGTCCCTCTGGATCTTCACCAGGTTCTCCAGGTGAACCAGGAGGCTTAGAAGTCAACAAAACACAGATCATTTGGTCCAGGCCAGGGGTGTCCAACCCTGGCAATGGGAAGACTTGCGGACTTCCAACTGCCACATAATTCCCCAGCCAGCATGACTGACTGGCCCTCTAAAACAAGGGTCTCCAACCTCGGCAACTTTATGACTTGTGGACTTCAACAACAGCTTTGCTGGCTGAGGAATTCTGGGAGTTGAAGTCCACAAGTCTTAAAGTTGTCAAGGTTGGAGACCCCTGCTCTAAAAGACCCCAACTTTCTGATGACAGTCTGATTTTTTTTTCCTTCCCCCTCCCCACCCAGCCAGCTAAAGGATGCCGAGAACCGAAATGTGGAACTGGAAGCTCAGATCCAACGCTTGAAAGAGCAGATCGAAGACATGAAAGCAGCAACTGAGGAGGGCAAGTCCAGTCTTCCCCTGTAGACTGTTTCCCATTCTGATCAGCTCTGGCCTTACTTACTCCCCGGGGCGACTTGGGCCACCCCTGAAAGTACAGGGAGTCCTCAGTTTATGGGTTTAGTGGCCATTCGAAGTTACAACAGCACGGAAAAGAGAGATTTACAACCGGTTTTCCCACCTATGACCGTTGCAAGCATCCCTTTGGTCACATGATCCAATTAAAATGCTTGGCAACTGGCATGTATGTATGACGGTTGCACTTTCGTGGTAGCCTAGCCGTGAAGCTAACTGCCTCTGGTTCGGAAGGTTGAGAGTTCAATCCTAGGTAGCAGCAGATATTTCTCTCCCCAGACGCAAAGAAAAAAAATATCTGCTGTGAACTCCACATAGGTGTCAGGAAGGGCATCCGGCCAGTAAATGCTCAGCTCTATCCAGTCGCCCTGACTCTACCCCGAATTAGTTACGGGATGAGAGTCGTTAAAGGGAGTATGTGATCATCATTTCTAACTTTCGAAGCCAAGCAAAGTCAATGTGGGAAGCCAGATTTGCTTAACAACTGCATGACTCACTTAACAACTGCAGTGATTCGCTTAACAACGGTGGCAAAAAGGTCATAACAGGGGAGAAAATTCACTCAACAATGAGAACAGGATCCCTAGCATGGAATGCACGATGCTTGGCGCTTTGGAGTGCAGTGATTCTCGCCCAACGCATTTGAGCATGGATACGTGTCCCGGCCCCCTGCCAGGAGGCCCTCGGCCCCACATTTTTCTTTTCCTTCCAGCTGCTTTAGGCTGGAGCCCACCCTGGCCCCCCAACCTCAGCCAGCCTTTCTTGCACTGCGTGGAACGGCCAGCCCATGTAAGACTCTGCGGGGAGAAAAAATAGGGATCTAGGGGGAAGGGGCTTTGTCCAGCCGAACAAGCTTTGCTGGGAGATGGGGGGGGGGGGGGGGGGGGTGCACCTGGACTCTGATATCTTCCTTCCCCCATTTGAACATTTTGCCTCTTTTAAAGAGCCATCGGCTCTGTTAAGAGCAAGAGAAAAATGGCACTGAGGGTTTTTTTTTTCCCAAGAGGACTAGGAACTTGGTTTTGTGAACATTCTGTAGGTGCTACACAAGGAACAGAGGCCACTACGCGGGGTTTTCCCCCCCTTCCCTGCCCGTCGGTGGACGCTGCGCCCTGCTGACGTCGACCTCTGCTTTCTCTTTTCAGCAAAGCGGCACCGTGGCATCCCGGCTCTGTGAATACCCGCTTGTGGTACCTCTGTACCGGCACTTGCTGCTCTTTTCGAGGGTACGTCGGCTGCTCTCTTGGGGCGCATGCCGCTTCCTTCTCTCGCTCCGAGCGCTCCCCCAGTGCATGCCTCCAGCTAGTTGTGGGTCTGCGCCCGTTTCCTACACCCCCTTTTCTTCCTTCACGGGGAACCGAGTCTGGTGGCACCCCCAGAACTTGGAAGCCCATCGGCCGGTGTCCCCGAGACCCTCCCTGCGGGTCAGGGCACAGACACGCAGCGCAGGCTTCTGAACCTGGGGAGGTTGGCCGTTCTGTCTCTGCGTGATTCACCCTTCTGCTTGGCTGCCTTCTCCCTCCGGAGAATCACTGCAGCTTTGCTCCAGCTTGAAGAATCCGGAGTCAAAAAATCGAGGAATTGCAAGATGGACCAACTCAAGAGCGCTCGAATCCCACTATGCAGTGTTTCTCAACCTTGGTAGCTTGAAGATGGGTGGACCTCAACTCCCAGATTCTGGGAGTTGAAGTCCACCCATCTTCAAGCTTCCAAGGTTGAGAAACACTGCACTAGCGTTTCCTGATCTCAGAATAACTGGATTAGAAGGGACCTTGGAGGTCTTCTAGTCCAACCCCCTTCTCAAACAGGAGACCCCATACTGTTTTCAGACAAATGGCTGACCAGTCTCTTCTGGAAAAAAATCTCCAGTCTTCCTAGATGGGGTGTTAAAAAGCCCACCCAATCCATCCTTCTCTCCCCCCACCCTGGCACCAATATTCCACGCTCCCCCCCCCTTCAGAACCTTATAACCTCTGACCCCGGAAGGCATGTACGTAAGCAAGCTTAATTTTGAAGCAGTTTGTTTGTGATCATCTCCGTGTCTTGGCAGAACTATTTTCTACCCGTATTTTCTACCTTGGTCCGGGCTTTTCCACCAAAATCTCTTCTCTCCCTGTAATTTTATAAGCCTCTTTTCTCTGTGTTCCTGCCCCCCACCACCACTTTCTCCCCAAGCTAAAAACTCTCACGACATTTGCAAGTTTTTTCTTTTTCAGAACGTGGCTGGAGTGCATTATTCGAGGCGTCTCTTTTTAGATATTTTGGCCAGCTTGAGTAGATCTTTTTTTTTTTAAAAGCATCCGACACCTGTTGCTCAAACTGGGCCGAGAGTATTTGCAACCTAGGTTGTTCCCGTTGAAAGGCAGGCATTTTAATTCCCATGACAATGTGACTGGGGACTGAAGAGGTGGAGCTCAGATCTTTCAGCTGGACACCGCGTGGGCCGCTCCTGCCATTCTCTGCCCAGGAGGGGTAGGGTGGGGTCTCTGCCATCCAATTTCTTTCAGCCACCGCCACCCACCCATGAGAGAGCTCTTTGTGGGGGGGGGGTGAGCTGGCATCTTGACCAGTCTGCGTTCCCTTTCCAGGTACGTAGGCCCTGCATCGTCCACGTGGGATACCTGCTCTTGTGCACCGGTGGGCACGGATTGGAGGCCTCCAACCGGGGCCGAGCGGAAAGAGTTTGAACCCTGGTTGGGGCAAGGAAGAGTTGGGCACACTGGCCACTTGCAGCTGCCTTAGCAAGCCTAGAAACGGGGACAAACCCCTTTGGAGGAGGACTGGCTTGGGCCAAGACGGTGATGCCACATCCCGGACATCCAGCCACCTCTCTGGTTCTCTCCCGGGCGCTTCCTTTGCCTCGAGACCACCGACCCCACTGAGAAAGCCAGGGGAAGCAGCAGGAGCTGAAGATGCAATCCAGGGATCCTGCTTTTCTCAGCACCTTTGCACTCTCTCTACAGACTGCCCCCTATAGAAACCCCACCCCCAAAATCTTGGATGGCACTTTGCGCTGGAAACGCACATCGTCCCCCAAAGGGGCTCCTCCCAAGTGTCGAGATGAAGCCTCTGTGCCGAAAATGCTTCGCCCAGGACGCTGCCAAGAATTTTGAGATCCTTCCCGTGACTTTTGCCGTCCCGGTCACAAGGGCCGTTTCTGCACCTGATGCCCCTTTGGGAGATGAGGGTCGGAAGGGCCCGGTCGGTGGCAGGAGAAAGGCATCCCCATCCCGCCTTCCTTGGTGACCCGTGAGAAGCGACAACTTCCCAACGAGGAGGAAGGGGACGGGGTCCATCCCCGGTGAGCTGGCAGAGCCCGACTCTGAAGAATTAGCCAAACGGTGCACTCGGCCAGCTGCAATCTGTGCCTTCCGGTTGCGCTTCGAAGGCCACCAACCCCCCACCCCCACTAAGGCCTTCTGGTGCCCATGGACTCCGCAGGGGGATGCTCGTTTCAAACTGCCAGACACTCTTTTTATCTGCACTTCTCCACGTTTGAAAGCAGCCGGCAACCTCCGCTCTGTACCCCTCCACGGTTCAACCCACCCACCCCGCTTTCTAAGTTATTTCGAATGGTGAGGGGGACGTGGCAGCCCTTCCTGCCTCAAAGCGGGAGACCCAAGTCTCTAGTCCCTATGTTTGGAAGAGTGTATGCATGTTTATATAAAACAAAAGTGCATGGAAGCAAAACCGAGCTTGTCGGGGGAGGGGAGGGGGGCATACTGCTAGCTTTAGGGTTTTTCACTTAAGCCCCTCCGGGTGCCCCTCGCCTTCCACGCCCCCAATATTTATTATCCCTCCTTTGTGTAACTCCGTGCATTGGCTGCGCACGCGGGGGCGCCCTGTACGCTCTGGAGTTGAAGGAGGGAGGGAGGGTCTCTTGGTTTTCCAGTAGGAATAAAGTCGGATTATTTCCTGGTCTTTGTGGGATGGTTGCGGTGGAAGGAAATCTTTAGGATTTTGCAGCCGGAATCAAATGCACACCGGAAGATGGGGTGGGAGGGACTCGTGGGTGTGGGAGTGCATTGATGCATACACACACACACACACACACACACACACACACACACACGAGGAATCAGCTGTGTTTCCACGATCCCTTCCCATCAGGCCTTTCACCCTTTGTAGGGAGTCCTCGATTTAACAACAGTTCATTTAGTGACTGTTCAAATTGACAGCAGCCCTGAAGTCACCAAGACCTGTTTTCACTCTTACGACCGTTGCAGCCTCCCCGTGGTCACATGATCAAAATTCAGACTCTTGGCAACACACTTTTGCCATTTTATGATGGTCAGTGTCCCAGGGTCACGTGATCCCCTTTTGCGACCTTCTGACAAGCCAAAGTCAATGGGGAAGCCAGATTCACTTAACAACCGTGGCAAGAAATGGGGCATTAAAAATGGGGCAAAAATCCACTTTTAACAACTCGCTCAGCAAGAGAAATTCGGGGCTCAGTTGTAGTCGTAAATCAAGGACTGCTTTTCAAAAAAAAATTTTTTGGTTGTTGCAAGCCTGCCCTCCCGCCCGCTCCCCGTTTGTGCCCCCCTCCCCTGCTGTCAATCAACAATCCTCGGGTGAGTCTGAGCTGTGAAAACGGTCTCTTTAGTATAAATAGGCATTCACGATTTCTATAATTTAAACGCTTTTTCAGACACGACAGTAACAAACGTTTAGAGCAGGTAGTAAAGTAACGAAAGGCACCGGGAGGGAGGGAGGGGGGGGCTTGTTGTCGGCAGCTTCCAGATGTGTTTCGGGGGGGAGGGAAGGCAAAATGATGGGGGGGGGGGAGGAGAACTTGGCTACCAGGCACCAGCTGGCTTCTTACAGAGGTCACAGGGGGCAGACATGCATGGGGAGGGGTGGGAGAGGTCAGGGGAAGAGGAAGGAAAAGCAAATTAATACTGTTTTTCCGAGGTCCGTCCGTCTCGCGGCAAAGAATCCAAGCGGATCTGATGGGAAATATAGGTTCTCCCTTCCGTCCCCTCCCCCGTCGCTTCGGGATGAAGCAGGGGTCCGTGGTTGTAGACCGGTATGGCTTTTTAATCCTGGGGGAGAGGAGACACTCCTGTGTTAGATCCTCCCTTCGCCCTGGGGTGGGGGTCTTTGATACGCTGGGCTGAATTTTGCAACCTGGAGAAAGGTACTGAATGTCGCTGATGGGTGCAGAAGACGATCCCTCGTCGGTATGGAAGTGTGTTGAGGGTTCACACAGCCGACGGGACAAACCCTGGTCAACTCGACGGAAGGACGAATGCAGGTTTTACAGCTTCGGCCTGAGATGAGCAAGGAAATTGCAAGCGATGAAATATTCTCCCACGCAGGGCGTATGCGACAGCCGGGATTAGAACTCGCCGACCCACAAAACATTCCCAGGATCTCAAGGAAACCCACTCCTAAAATCGACTAGGCTTTTAGGAATCGGTCCTAGCAGCCAACTTTCCCTGCGGCTTCATCAAAATGTTGGGGTTTTTTTTAACCCAAAAGGCTGCCTCGGCTACCAGCACAGTCAGATGGAGCATGTGTGAATGTGCCAAGGCGCAGCTCGGACTGAAGGCGGCGGAGGAGACAATTTGTAGAGAGACGGAGTCCTTTCCCACGGAGGCTGACGGGACCCTCTGGTGCCGTGTTTCTCAATCTTGGTTCCTTGAAGGCAGGTGGACTTCAACTCCCAGAATTCCCCAGCTGGCTAAGCTTCAATTCAATTCAAGAATGAAAGTCCACCTGTCTTCAAGTAACCAAGGTTGAGAAATACTGTTCCAATGGATATCCAAGAGAAGAAAAGAATTCAATGGGGCACCTGTAGAAATGCTAGTCATTTATACCTCACTGCTATCTTATAGAGCCACTACATGCAAGCCAAACTCTTAATTTCCATTTTTCACTGATCAAGTCCACTGGGAAGCTAAACTGGTTTAAAATCTGCACCACTGCAGATTCAAAGCCAACTAAAATGTGCGTCTTTTAAAGGAAAGACACTTGCCAAAAACAACGTACATATTTTGACATTTATAATTATCCATCATACAATTCCCTCAACCTTTTTCTCTCTCTCCCTCCCTCTCTCTCTTTCTCTGTGTATAAATAAAAAGACGCCAAGACTATCCTTAATTGTCCACAGGCCCAAAGCATAGTTGGGATATTTTCGAGACTCCACGCTAAATTTAAAACGCTTTTAAAAAATATTTTGGTTGGCTCTGAATCTGTTTTTGGAGCAGCTGGTTGCGAAACCTCAATCTTTGGCTCGTTCGCCTTATGCAACCTGAACCTTAAATCAGGCTGAAGCCGAGCAACCCAAGAGACACCGAGAATTCAAAATCTTATCCCATCATTTCCTTGGCAACTTCAAGATGTTTAGACTCTCAACTCCCAGAATGCATCCAGGGGCTGGGGAATTCTGGAGTTGAAAGTCCACCTGTCTTTAAAGTTGCTGAGGTTAGGAAACACGGATCTACTCTACTGACTTAAATAACCAACCCAGGAACGTGACTCATAGCAATAAAGGAGAATATTTGCAGCTCGGGGTTGAAATGAGGGGTCCTTGGTGCTCTCTGGGCTTGGTGGTTTCCTTGCAGACGTTTCCTGACCAAACTAGGTAACATCATCAGTAGCTAAGGAGGGAGGTTTGCTCACCAAACCCCACTCCTTACTAGCACTGATGTTGTTATCTAGTTTGGGCAATGAAACGCCTGCAAGAAAACCAACAAGGCCAGAGAGCACCCAGGACCCCTGATTCGCTGCAAGACCAAGGTTCCTAAAAAACCAAGCTTATTTGATTTAGTCTGGCACATCAAGATGGAGAAGCGCAGCTCCAGAAGCCAGGATCATCCTAGATATTTACTTTTGGTGACCAAAACCAACTTCCCCTGGAGGTGAATCTCTGAGCCTAAGCTAAACAAACTAAGCAACTGACCGGACAAGCGTCAGATGCCACAGCTACATAATCTAGAACGCTGTGTCTCTTGACCTCAGCAATGTATTTAAGATTCGTGGACTCCCTTTTCCATCATGGCTGGCTGGGGAATTCTGGGGGAGTTGAAGTCCACACCTCTTCAAGTGGCTGAGGCCGAGAAGCACCGTTTAAAGACTTTAGAACGAGTCTCTGCCAATCAACAGTGTGGATGTGCTGGGATCCCCCATGCATAAACACCTTCATCGGGAGGACGGTCAGCAACGACAAAAAAAACGTGTCAGAGAGAAAGGATCAAATCTGGCGAGAAATGGCCGGCCCAAAAATAAGACCCCATTCAGAGGGGTTGGAGAAAGGAAGTGATGGGTGGAGGAAATCGTCCTTGAGAAACATCAGGTAGTAAGTCAACGGCTGTCGCGTTACAAGGACCAACCGATGGAAAGGAAACCCATTTTGCTTTGAGAGGCCCCTTCCGAGATGAAGCCGGGCGGATGCGGGAAACCGAAGTGGAGGTCCACGACACAACAAAAGACGTCGGAAACAGACGGATGGCAAGAATTCCCTGGCAGTATCGTGCTGGATCTCGAAACGTTTTTAAGCGCCGTCTCTGGGAGAAGAGAGTCCGTTGGCTGAACGGGGAGGAGGACGCGGCGAAAGTCGAGAGAGAACTATCTGCCGGACAGAGGTACGACTGCTACCTCCGGTCAACAGAAATACTGGAACTTTCTGTGCAAAAATGGGATTAAAGCAAAGGGGAGGGGGAAGGGGGAAGAAAAGGACTGTTACACGCGGCAGGGAATTACTGTTATCTCCCCTGTACAAAACTCCTTCTGGGGGCAAGCAACCAGGAAAATGGAGTTAGGGATAGGTTGGGCTGGGTCACAGCAACCAGAATTTCTGTCTGGATGGGGGGGGGGGGGGAGGAGGGAGGGGAAAGCTCAGTTCACCTTTGTGCAAAATCAGCCCCTCCAAGCACCCTGTGCTCAAACCTTAACATTAAATAAAAGAGTTTGTTAATTAATACTTTTAAATAGCGGAGAGGTGCCGTTCATCCTGAATTACGTCGTCGGTCTCGAGAGGTTAACGGTTAGGATTCCAAATTGCCACACAGTCAGGTTTCACAGGCGAGGGATGGGGAGACACAACCTGTACACACGTTGAAAATGTCGGAAAACTTTCCCGTCTTGGTCAAGTTTGCTCCACCGAGCAAAGGAACCGGAAGCAGTTCCACTCCGGGTCCAAACCGGAGAGCAAGCCGAGCGTGAGTTAGTGCCGATTACACGATTGTGCCGCTGGGAGAGCCCCCGTTCTGGGAATTCAGGATCTGAAAAATCAAAAGTTGGGGACAAAGTTTAAATATCAACTAGTGGCTAGTTAGTTCTGTGGGGTGAATCCGCAGAGGTGAAATTAATCTGAGCTGGTCATCAGCGCTTCCTAGCTACTAATTAATCATGTCACGTCTTCCTTCTAGCCTGCGATTCTGGGCATTTGCAGTTAAGCAAGCCATCGTCCTCTGCTTTTCTACCTGGATCTGCCCCGAGACAGGCGTATGGGATCTAGTGATCACCGGACCCATCAGCAGGCTAAGGCAGAGAGGATCTCTTGCTGGGGAATAAATGCTAAATAAGCCAAGTTATGCTACTAGAAATAAAGAGAACTCAGATTTGGGAACCTCAAGGGCATCTGAAAGCAGCAGGAACCAAGCGCAGAGAGGAGCGAATATTTCTAGATCAGGGTTGAACGTGGTATCAGGGCACTGATGAGGTTACCTAGGTTGGTCACGAAACGTCCGCAAAAAAACAACTAGGCTCAGAGAGCGCTAAAAACCCCACAGTCCTCCTCCTCCTCTTCCTCCCTCCACTCGTCCTCCTCATGGAATCTCAAATTACAGGCAGTCCTCGATTTACAACTATTCATTTACTGACCATTTGAAGTTACAACAGCACTGAAGAGAGTGACTTATGACACAACCGTTGATGGCCAGGGGATCAGAATTCTAGACGCTTGGCAACTGGCATGTATTATTCATGACGGTCGCCCTGTCCCGGGGTCGTGTGATCACCATTTGTAACCCTTCCCAGTCAACTTTCGAAAAGCAAAGTCAATGAACAGAAACTGGACTCACTTAACGATTGTGGCCAGAAAGGCCGTAAAATGAGGCACGGCTCACTCCACAATTCCCTTGCTTAGCAATGGAAGTTTTGAACTCAATTGTGGTCATAAGTCGAGGGCCACTGTAACAAGCCCTAGCCTAACTTACTGAAGAGTGCTGGCTGATCCCAGCTCAAACACTGAATAGCCCTGAGACATATATACCGCTTCACAGTGCTTTTACGGCCCCCTTTAAGCGGTTTACAGAGTCAGCACATCGCCCCCAACAATCTGGGTCCCCATTTTACCCACCTTGGAAGGACGGAAGGCTGAGTCCAACCGTGAGCCGGTCAGGATCGAACCCCTGGCAGTGGGCAGAGTTGGCCTGCAGTGCTGCATTCTAACCCCTGCAGCCACCAGGGCTCTACCCTCTCTTGAAGGAGACCCCTAAGTGGTAACCCAGCCAGAGAGCCGTGAGATCCACTTACCGCCTTGCCTGGCCTGGCCCAGGTGCAGATCAGCCCTTCCTGGCAGGCGGTGATGATAGAGTCCTCCAGGAAAAGCAAGACGGTCAGCCGCTCGTGGGCAATCTTCTTGCACACCAGGGGCTCCAGCAGGGGCACTTCGTGGATGCGGGGGCACAGGGCTGTGCCCAAGACCTTGGCCGTGTCCAGCTTGCTCTTGGGCACCACGTTCAGCTTGTCGCTGCTCTTGCTGATGTTGCCCAGGCTGTGGTAACGTTTGTGCTCTTTCTCCGCGTTTTTGTCCCGCCGCTCCTGCAGGGTGAGGGTGGCGAATTTGCCGATGCTGAAGGGCACCGCCCCGTCCGCCGCGTGGCTTTTGGCAGCGCTGGTGACTGCCGGGTGCGGCAGGCTGTTGGAGCGTGAGAGGGAGCGGGGAAGCGGCCCTCCGCCGCCGCCTGACTCGGCGGCCAGGTTGCTGCCCCCGCTGCCCGAGGGAGGGATGCCGGTGCCGAAGGTGTTGGTGAGCGTTCGGGTGCGGGGCAGCAGGTGGTGGGGGTACAGGACGTCTTCGGTCAGGTCCCAGAGGCAGAACTGGGTGTCCTGCCCGGCAGAGCCAAACCGGTAGGTGACCGAGGGGGTGCTTTTGGCGCTGTGCTTGGACAGGTGGGAGAGAGTGCTGCTGGTCCTCACCCGCCGGAACTCGGACGAATCCTGGAGGTCCTCGTCGCTGCCGCTCAGCTCCCCGCTCTCCTCGTCCTCCGTGCTGGTGGTGTAGGGGTCGAAAGCCACCGCGTTAACCCAGGACTTGTGTCCGTGGCCCCGGGCAATGACCCGGCCCTCTGCAAAGGACCAAACCGTGACCAGGTCGTCCTCGCCCCCCGTGACGATGTAGCGTCCGTCGGGGCTCCAGCAGACGCACAGCAGCCCCCCAAAGTAGCTCTTCATCATGCCCTGCAGCAGCATGGAGTCGAAATGGAAGACCCGCAGGCAGCCGTCTTGGCTGACGCACGCCAGGTAGCGGCCGTCGGGCGAGAAGGCAAACTCGTTCAGGGCCCCTTCGCCCACCGCCCACTTCAGCAGCGGGTTCCGGGCGTTCTTGCTCTTACAGGCATAAACCGTGAAGCCCTCGCCTTGCTTGAGGAGGGTGTACTGGGGGGCGGCCGAGACGCAGGGCTGCTCCACGTTGTACAGGTACAGGTGACCGCTGGCGTGGGAGGCCAGGAAGAGGCTCTCCGACTCGGGGATCCACTTCACAAAGGTGACCTTTGACTTGTCGATGAGCCTCTGCGGGAAATAAGGCGGAGGGCCACGAGCCAGAAACAAAGATGAAAAAAGACCCTCAGGATTCCAAGAGCCCTCCACCACCAAATACCCCTCCTGCAGGCAAATTCTGAACAGGCCCCCAAAACCCCATCCCATTCCAAGTGATCCTGACTGCTAGACAAGAGATCATTTAGAATTATCATTATTTGTTCCATTTTAGTTTACAATTCAAAAAAGACATTACAAACGAAGAACATTTCAAAACAATGAAAAATATCCAGATTGTTCTGAATGCCTCCTTCGCCTGGGGAGTTTTGTACAACTAAGCCAGAATCAAGAGAGATGGGATGGATTAGAACGCCTACTGGCTGCTTCCCTGGAAACCACTCAGCGCAGGAGAAGGCGATCCCATCTTAGGTCTCAGAACAGCCGGGAGATTGCAAGGCAGGATGCAAATTTGAGGGTTAATTGCTGCTTCTCCAGGGCACGGTTCTACCACGATGGATCTGCTAAAGCTTTGAGTCATCTTTCTGTCAAAGCTCCAAAGCTACTGCAATGAAGCTGCAGCTTGATTAATCTGCTGATTAGAATCGGTAATGAGGGAAGTCATTAAGTAGGGGCTGAAAACAGGAGAGTGCGTTTTCCAGATGTTCTGCTCTAGAACTGTCATCACTCCCAGCAAGCAGCAGCCAGAAATGTGGGGAAGAGCAGCAGCTATTAGCTGCCGGTTCCCACTTAATGGAGCCAGGCTGAGCTGAAAGATCCCTGCAGTGATTCCCCCACCTCCCCCATTGCTGGTTTTCTTGCAGACATTCCACGATCCAGCTAGGTAACATCATCAGTGCTAGAAGGGAGTAGGGTTTGCTCTCTTCTTTATTTACAGTGGCTTGCCCTCTAAGTGTTGGTGGAAATGTTTTCTTGGTAGTTTCCTTGATTAGCCTATGTTTACTGTTTGTTTGAGTTGGTAGTTCTTTGATTGAGGTATTGTTTACTGCTTGATTGTTGGTCTAGTGTTAACTCTGGTGTTAATCTCTGCTTATCTAAGTGTTGATAAACAACAATGGTAAGCCATAGCCTAATCAAGGAACCACTAAGAACACTCCCACCCATACTGACAGAGCAAGGCACTGTATATAAAAAGAGATCAAACCACACTACCTTCTAGCACTGATGACGTTACCCAGTTGGGTCACAAAACGTCTGCAAGGAAACCCCCAAGCTCAGAGAGCACCAAGGACCCCACAGATCAACCCTGAGCTACAAAGATTGTCTTTTATTGGTAAACCATGCTGCCCTGGACTCACCTCCTCATTAAATAGCTTACTGGTATCTTTCTTGATCAGATCCAAGTATTGCACTTGCCCAGCCGAGAAGCCAACCAAGAGGGAGATGCTTTCGGAAGCCGCCGTGAACTGGTTGAAGTCATGGCAGGTGGGCTGCGTCCCCTTATAGATCCGCTTGTCGATAGGTTTCTTCAGATCGATAGACTGGGAAGATCACGACCGACATTCAAAATTTTTAAAAAAACCAAGAGGCAAGGACACAAAGAAACCTAAAGCTGGAAAGGAAGGCGCATCACAAAGTGCCACTCACTTCCTCTGGCTAAGTCCTTTTTATAACAGGCATGAATCATTCATGCTTGCCCATTGCCGGTCCAAATAATTTAGATTCACTATTTTGACGGACGTTACTAACGAGGGAGTTCCTCCTTAGCCCACACACTCACGCTGGATGTTCCAATTTGGGGGAAGCTTCTTTGCACAGAGAATCTCAACTTTTCCTCCAAAAGGCAACCTGGACTTTCTTGGGGGGGGGGGGGTTCTTTGAAAACCTTTCACTTCTCATCCAAGAAGCTTCTTCCGTTCTGATCTTCAGTCAGAAGCTCCATGGATGAGAAGTGAAACCTTTTCAACAACCCCCCCCCCCAAAAAGTCCAGCTGCCTTTTGGTAAAAAAAAGCACCTTTTCCTGGCTTCCCTGCCAGGAGATGCTTGAAGGAGCCACATCAAGGCAGCCCCCACCCCCCACCCTCTCCCTGGGCTCTTCCTTGCCCATCATCCACACCTGCTTTTCCCTCCTGGGACCCTCCAAATCCTCCTGATGCCCCCATGGCAGGTGACCCCTCCAGGGCCCATTTCCCCCCCCCGCCCCCCAGCCCCACTGCTGCCCCCCCCCGCAATTCTTTGGCTCTTCTTGGCCCATCCCCCACACGGAGCCTCCCCCCTCCCCCAATCCTCCTGACACCCCCCCACATTGGCCGCCTCCCCCCGCCCCCCCCCGGGACTCCCTCTCCAGCCCCCTCCGACTGCTGCCCCCCAAATCCTCCTGACACCCCCCACCACCCAGTGCCCCCCCTTCCTTCCCTCCCTCCCTCCCTCGCGCGGGGGGCTCACCCTCCTTCCCCGCCCGGCGGCGCCCGAGTAAAAGTAGAGCTCCCGGCCCAGGTTGAAGCAGACGCGGCTCCGCTCGGCGCCCGGGCCGCCCGCCTCTCCGTCCGCGCAGGGCTCGCCTCCTCCGCCTCCGGCCAGGCCCAGCCGCACCAGCGAGAGGCGGACGGGCGGCAGCGACGGGGCGGGGGGCGCGGGGGCTCCTGCGGGCGGCGGGGCCGGGGGGCGCTGGCGGCGGGGGCGGCGGCGGCGGCGGGTCGGGCGCGGGGCTCGGGGCCGCCCAGCAGCCGGTAGGAGCCCTCGCGGGTGCGGAACTGGCTCTTGATCTCGTGCGGCGGGGCCTGCGGGGGCGGCGGCGGCGGCGGCGGGGGGGCGCCTCCTTCCGGGGCCGGCGCCGGGGCAGCCAGCGCCGCCGCCATCTTCCCGCCCGGCCGCCGCCTCCCGGAAGTCGCCGCCCCTCGCTCGCCTCCGCACGCCGGAAGTGTGGCGCGGAGGAGGCGGGTCCTAGCGGGAGTGGGGCGTTGCCGGGCAACGGCGCGCGGCTGGGCTCGGCCGACCGACGGGTCGCCTTGGCAACCGGTTCAAAGAGGCTGCGCGGGCCGCCTGGGCGGGGCTCTCTCTCTTTCTTCTGCGCAGGCGCCGCCCACACAGCAGGGGGTCTCAGGGCTTGGCTGCCTTTTTTTTTTTTTTTTTTAACGGCTTCTGGATTTTAGGCTCAGGGAAGGGACCCCGGAGGTCTTCTAGTCCATCCCCCTGCTCAGGCAGGAGGCCCCAATGCCATTCCAGACAAAGGAGTGCTCCATCTCTCCTCAAAAGCCTCCGGCCCAGGGTTGGGAGCAGCCCCGACGTCTGGTGGCAAGCAGTTCCACTGGCCAATTCTTCCAAGGGTTGCTTGTCCTGCGTTCTGGTGCTTCGGAAAACCCTCCTCCCCCTCCTCCTCTTTGGGGCAGCCCCTCAAATGCTGGAAGCCCCTGCTCTCATGTGTCCCCCCCTCCCCAGTACCTTTTTTCTCCCAACCAGCCAAACCCAAATCCTGTTTTTGTCTCCAGGCCTTGAATCCCCTTGGCTGCCCCTTCTCTGCATCTCCCCCTTTTATATTGACCAAAACTGGATGCGGGATTCCAGGCGTGGCCTTACGAAGGTTTTACACAGCCATATTCAGACCTTAACCCAGTGTTTCTCGACCTTGGAAGCTTGAAGATGGGTGGACTTCAACTCCCAGAATCCCCCACCCAGCAGCGCTGGCTGGGGGATTCTGGGAGTTAAAGTCCAGCCATCTTCAAGCTTCCAAGGTTGAGAAACACCGTTCTAGCCAATAAAGCTGGCTGGGGGATTCTGGGAGTTGAAGTCCACCCAACTTCAAGCTACCAAGATTGAGAAATACTACTCTAGAGCTGGATGAGGAATTCTGGGAGTTGAAGCCCACAACAAGTCGTCAAGTGGGCCAAAAGCATGAACCCCCACCCCCTCAGTGTTCCCCGTGGCTAGTAGAAAAGTGGCTGAACTCCTTTGGCAGAAAGCAGACCAAGACCAGGAAGGATAGCTGAGATGCTTTATTGAGAAAGCCGAGACCCCCCAATTTCCCCTTCTCCCACTCCCACCCGGCCATTCCCCCCCTCTCCCAAATCAGCACTCCATCTTCTCCTCTTCCTCAGTGCCGGACTTGGATGGCGCTGCTGGGGGCTCCTCCGAAGGGCTGTCTGTGCCGGCCTCTGCCGCTTGGCTGTCCTTGGCCGGTTCTTCTGGGGCAGGGGTGGGCTGGGCAGGGGCAGGGGTCTTGCTGGAGGACCCCTCGTCTGAGCTGCTGTTGCCACCGCCTCCTTCCTTGCTGAGCAGCTCCTGCGGGAAAGTGACACGACGACACCCGTCAGTCTGGCCGTGGGGAAAAACCATTGGAAGCCAAGCGGAGAATTTTAGACAAATGTGGTTTTTAGCTGAATTGGAATCCGAGGAAGTAACCTGGTTCTTGGCTGGGAAAGGTTGCGATGACGGCACCCAGAATTGGAGTCAAAGGGGCGACTGTTTTCACTGAGGAGAGCAAGAGCCCCCAATCCCAAATATCCAATATATTCCATTAAAGGAGCCAGCTTGATCAGACTAGACAGCAGGAGTGATGAGTTGTAGTCTTGACTGAGCCATCAAAGCCGGCTGGGTGACTTTAGGCCAGTGTTTCTCAACCTTGGAAGCTTGAAGATGGGTGGACTTCAACTCCCAGAATCCCCCAGCCAGCAGCGCTGGCTGGGGGATTCTGGGAGTTGAGGTCCACCCATCTTCAAGCTACCAAGGTTGAGAAACACTGCTTTAGGCCAATCCCCAGGAGGCTGGGAGTTCTAGTCCCCACCTTAGGCATGAAAGCCTGCTGGGTGATTTGGGGCCAATCTCTCTCAGGCCAACCCACCTGTTGTGGGGAAAAGAGGAAGTGGAAGATGTATTGACTATGCTTGATTTATTTGTAGAAATAACACAGGCGGGACGCGAACTAAAATAAATAAGAAAATTCAAAGAGAGGGGTACCTTGGTGGGCCAGGGTCCTTCCAAGCTGGAATCCAGCAGGGAGCTCTCCCCCCCAAAACTCTCCTCCTCCTCCTGCATGCTGATGAAGATGGTGGGGGTCTCGGCTTCGGGCACGTCTTCCGGGAGGTCCACCAATTCTTCAGCAGGAGGAGGGGTGGGGGGGCCAGCAGGGCGAGCCTGTGGCTGTTGCTGCTGCTGCTGCTGCTGCTTGAGTTTCTGCTCCTCTTCCAGCTGCCGCTTCAGGGCCTTCTCCTGGGCCAGGCGCAGGGCGATCATGTCCTGGGACACCCGAGGCAGCAGAGGCTGGGGCTCCGCGTCTTCCTGTAGATCCAGCAGATTCGGTTTTAGGATCCGCTAAAGCAGCTCTTCGAGAATCCAGCTAGGTTAGGCCCAGCAGGCCTGAGCGATTCGGGTCGTTTAAGAGCCCTGGTGGCTCGACTTTAAGTCACAAAGGCACTTATGGCCGTTTTTCACACTTAACGACCATTGCAGCAGCCCCGTCATCAAAACTCAGGTGCTTGGCAACTGGTTCACATTTATGACGGTTGCAGCGTCCCGGGGTCACATGATCTGCTTTTGCGACCTGGGGAAGCCCGACTCGCTTAAGTACCGTGTTGCTAACTTGATAATTTTGATGATTCGCTTAACAACCGGGGGCGAGAAAAATGGTAAAATGGGACAAAATTCAATTAGCAAATGTCTCACTTAGCAACACAAATTTGGAGCTCAATTATGGTTGTTAAGTCAAGGACTGCCTGTATTGCAGTCTAATTCTGCCCACTGCCAGGGGTTCAATCCTGACTGGCTCAGCCCAGTGCAATCATTCAACCCCCATCCCCCCCATCTGCCCTCAGAGTGCTGACCTCCCTCTCTCTTCTCAGGGTCTTCGTCCTGGGTGGAGCAGGGCCCCTCCCCTCATCCAGGGGCTGAAGTTCTTTGCCTTCCATTTCCTGTTTGTTGGTGGCTTCCAGAATGGCCATGATGGAATTGGGGACGTGGGCTTGCTGGGGGTAAGAAGGACACCGGGTCAACTGCCAGGACTTAAAGCAGCCAAATGAAGGTTAGTTACTTAGCAGAGACTCCGAGACACAAATGCAAAATTATTCTGGGTTCAGCTTTTAAACTAACATCTCGGCATGGATCCACTTCTGTTGAACACCTAATTCCTACATCGCTGTCTTATGCCTAAAGATATTTACCCCTATAATAGGGGGTGTATTATTAGTACTACTATCCTTGTCATTTTTCCTATTACCTTTTCCTATCAGTATCTATGATTATCACTTTATTGCTTTTCATGTACACTGAGAGCTTCTGCACTGGAAACAAATTCTTTTTGTTTCCATTCACACTTGGCCAATAAAGAATAATCCTAATTCTAATTAATTCTAACTCTAACTCTGATCCAGTTCTGTCCCAGAAACTGCATTGGAGAATATATATTTTGACACAAACGGGGGTACATTCTGGATTTTTACTCGGTCTTCATCATATACGCAATGCCCCTACCTGATGGGGGGTGAAGGAGCGGACATGAGCCAGCAGAGGCTCTCTCAGCTCTGGGCACTTTTCAAAGACGGCACTGAGCTGCTGTGGGGGTAACTGGAGGATGACCTGGAAGGACTGGGGCTTCGTACGCTGGCAGCACTTGATGAAGCCCTCCCAGACTTTGGGGTACTTCCACACCTGGGGAGGAAGCAGAGTTCAAAAATGCGGCTGAGCAACTTGAGTCATCCATCCATCCAATTCATTCATTCATTCATCCATCAAACATGTTGCCGCCCATCTTATCACAGGGTTACTCTGGGCGGCTTACAATATTAAAAAATAAATATATAAATAGTGCAAAACTATAAAAATGCAAAATACGATAGCTAAAAGATGGGGGGGGAGGGAATAAGATGGGGGGAGCTGGGATCTGATATTAATCTTTAAGATGTCTCCAACATGAAGCCCTTTCTTTGGAGCCCCAAGATCTTTAGGCCCACTCTTAGAGAATGTCTGGAGGGTTGGAGGGGACCTTACTGGGGTGGGGGTGGGGGTTGGGGTGGGGCGCAAGGGGTTCCAGGGCCATCCCAATCACCAATTTCTATAGCCACCCAATTCAATCCCATGGACTCTGGGTGGGGAACAAGACCGCAATTAAAACCGTCGTTGGTCTTTGGGAAAAGAATGGCCTTTTGCTATACAGGCAGTCCTTGGCTTACAACCATCGGCTTACTGGCCTTAAAGCTGCAACAGCACTGAAAAAAAAGTGACTTATGTCCAGTTCTCACGCTTATGACCGTTGCAGCATTCCCCACGCTGACGGGAGCAGACTCCGGGGGCTTGGCAACCCACACTCACAACGGCTGCCCATATCCTGGGATTGCTCTCTGCAACACGCCTGGGGAGCTCCTGACAAGCCAAATCAAGCCATTTAAGGGTGGCCATTTGCTTAACCGTGGCCAAAAAAAGAGTTTGCAAAACGGGACACAATTCACTGCCTCGCTTGGAAGCTTTGGGCTCCGTGGCGGTTGTAAGTCAAGGCCTCGCCTGTGTGGTTGAAATCCAGCTGCTTAAGGGCCCCAGGCTCTCTTCCCTGCCCCCCCTCCCCCCGACTCACCTGCTTCAAGATGAGGCGCGAAAGGATATTCATGACAAAGCCGCCCAGGCGGGGGTACATGGTCAGTGACTGGATGACCGTCCGCATGAGGAGCATGGGCAGGGGGTTCTGCTCCATCAGCTGCTGCATCACCACAGCCAGCACCTCCGAGGTGTAGACGTTGTGCTCAGCAAAGCACAGGTTGGTCGCTGCGGGCAGGGAAATCAAGGAACGTGAGAAAAGGAACTGCTCCAAAAAAACCAGGAGGAGGATGCAAAAGGGGGCCACGCGTGTCACAAACGGTCAGTCCTTCGATGGGCC